GCGCCAGCCTGCCGCCACCGGGCGAGGTCTCCGCTGCCAGCGGCGTCCTGCTGACCTACTGCGGACCCACCGGCTTCGAGGTGTTCGTCGAGAGCTCGCTCCTCTCCCTGGGCTACCCCGTACAGCAGCTCTTCAAATTCTGAACCACATCACAACAAGAAGACAACCATAACCTACAAGCTCACTTGACACCTCATGACAATGATGGTGATGGTGATGATGAATGAAAAAAGAGTTCTTGTCTTGTTTGTGGGGGGGGGATTGGTGGTGTTCAGGACCGGGGCAAGGCGGCGGTGGCGTCCTCCTCGTTCTCCACCTTGACGAAGATGTTGCCGACGGCGAGATCGGCGGCGGTCTCGTCGGACGGGTCGAGCCGGGTGTCGAGGCTCTCGAGCTCCGCTTCGGTCTCGTCGGCACGGAAGGGGCGGCCCAGCATGGAGGCCTGCGGGTGCGGGAAGGGCTCCGTGTTGTAGGGCAGGAGCGTCTTCGGCGGCGGCTCCTCCGCGTCCAGGTCGGGGAACCGCAGCTCCTCGACCGAAGGCGGCTCCGGCCACCGCACTGTGTTCGATTCGTGTCAGCACACGCACACAACGCACACACACACACACACAACACACAACATGGGGACAAGAGAAGGGGAGGAGGGTACGCTTCTTGAATTCGTGGAGCCAGCGGGGCGGGATGACATACTCGGCCGCCTCCTTCCTCAGCTCGTAGTCGTCCTCCGACACTTCGCCCAGGATGTGGTCGACCGAGTCCTGGCCGTCCCGCAAATACACCTTCTCCATCTTGATCACGCGCAGGATGCGCCGCCACCAGTGCACTTCGGCCACCAGTATCTCCTATCAAGTCCGCACCACGCGTTAGCTAGACACGACACGACACGACACGACCAACGACACGAGGACGGGGAGATGGTACCCGCTGCCGCAGGGTGTTGCGGTAGGAAAGGCGCACGACAGCGACGGGCGGCAGACCAAAGATGTTCTCGTCGGCCCAGTGGTAGAGCCGCTTGTGGGAGAAGATGCCCGAGGGGTCGGTGTTGATCCGCGGGTTGTGACCCAGCTCGGACGGGTAGGTCATGTGGGTGAGGAACGTCGTCAGCAGCCGTTCGGGCGTTTTGATGGCGCTGAACGCAACATTGGCATCTCCCATCAGGCCTGGCCGCATGAAGAAAAGGGAATGGCGTGAATTAAAGTGAATGATGCTGCCATGCGTGTGCATTGCCCCCCCAGCAATCATCTTTTGATCCTATTCTTTAAGAAGAAAAATGCAACAAAATAAAATTTGATTCATTAATTGGGGTACCTTTCCAGCTCGGCAGAAGGTGGCGATTGTATTCCCAGGGATCCTTGCCAGCGGGCGTGATCCATTTCAGGTATCGCTGTTCGAGCTCCTTGGCATCTTCAGCACGCAGGTACGTCTTTCTCAGCGACGATCCCACCCGGAGAAGGGATGAAGACGACGTGATGTTCCTGCCATCCGTGCTCAGCGCGTAAGTACGGCGCGGGAACGGAACACGCAGCGTCTCCGCCGCCGCGGAAGCGGGTGTCGGCCGTGAACTGCGCAGCAGCCCCCAGGTGCCCCTTGTGCTCTTCATCTTGAGTCGATTACCAATTAATCTTCCGGCCGCCTTTTCCTTGTCTCTTTTCTCCCACGTCTTTTTGGTCCAAAAAGAAAAGGCATATTTTTATTTACATTTTTATTTGTGCAAGATGTGGGGAGGGCACACCGAGGCGTCCGTGGCTGCGTCATCTTCTGCTCCTGTGGAGGTGGTGAAGGCGGCCCTCCCATACTTGGGTGTGGCAGCCCTTTCCGCGGGTCTGGCCATCGTTTCCTATCGGCATTTCTGCACTTCGCCAGCAGCGTCACCTTCAAAGGAGGCACAGCCGATCGTTCCGCCCGGCATCTCCAGCCCCGCGTTTCCAATCGATGTCAGCGAAGCCGATCTCATGCGCGACGCCTCCCAGGAGGAGGTACTCCGTGAGCAGACTGATCGCACCCGCCTTTTTTATGGCGATGAGGCCTTCGCCAAGATTCGCGACGTACGCAGACTCATTTATTTGTTTGATTTAATGTTTTAATTAAAAAAATATATATTTATTTATTTATTTATATTTATATTAATCTCACAATAATGTAAAATGTAGGCTTTTATCGTCGTAGTTGGCGCGGGCGGCGTGGGGAGTGCCGCGGCTCATGTGCTGCTCCGCACCGGCGTCCGTAAGATACGCATCATCGACCCTGGTGCGTTCACCCACCTTGACCATCATGCCCCTCTTGGCGCGTGGGCACTGCAATCCGCCACATTCGTCTCATCGTGTGTCGTGTGCGTCGTGGCCAGATATTGTGACTGTGAGCTCGCTGAACAGGAATGCGGTGGCACAGCGCAAGGACGTGGGCCGCAGCAAGGTGCACACGCTCAAGGACTACTTCCACCGCATCCTGCCCGAGTGCGAGGTGGAAGCCCTCCAGGTGTTCTTCACCAGGGACCTCGCGCCGCAGCTGCTGTACATTCTCTTTCCCCCGCGCGGTTCAAATTGCGCGCTTTGTTTTGTTTTGTTTTGTTTTGTTTTTTCCTGACCATATGGCGCGCGTTGTTGGGTGGGTGGGGGCAGGGCAGGGAATCCGACGTTCGTCCTCGATTGCATCGATAACCGCGACACCAAAGTCGAGCTCATTGCCTACTGCAAGAACAACAACATTCCAGTACTCTTCGCACGCACGTACATGCGCACATAATCGCCGCTAGCCTTACTGACCTCACCGCGTACGCCAAACAGCTCGTATCAAGCTTTGGGGCGGGATCTCTGTGGGACTGTACCAAGGTTCGCGTTTAGCCCCGCCTCATGCGCTTCAGCGAACGACACGCGCACGCACACACGCACACCACACGCACACACACCACACGCACGCACACGCACGCACACACACACACACACGAGCTCAACTGTGGCTGACCAATCTCCACCATGGTGCCACTGAGCAGATCTGCGTTTCCGATATCAGTGATTCTTGGGCTTGCCCGCTCGGCCGAGACATTCGGCGGTGGCTGAAGGTTCGCGAGGGGATCTCCGAGGGCGTGCTCTGCGTCTACTCCATCGAGAAGGAGCGCAAGAAACAGATCCCTCTCACCAAGGAGGAGGTGCAGATGATCGAGGTGAGTCAACACACACACACACACACACACACACACAACGCACACACAACGCACACACAACACACACACAAAACACACGCCGCGCTACGCTCGAATGGCTCACGGGGCGCACTGGCGCGCACACGCGTGCAGAGCCAAAAGATCAAACGAAAGGTCCGTGTGGCGAAGTTGGGCGTGGCGATGCCCATGCCCTCTCTCTTTGGGACCACCATGGCGTCCCTGGTGCTCAACATCCTCGCCGGCAAACCTGGTATGCACCTTCACTTCTAACAACGTTTATTCTTCTATTTACTCATCCTTTCTAAAGAATTAATATAACATAATTCATGATATGTCAATATATAATGTTTATATTAATTTCTCGGTTGTGATTGGTATTAAAAAAACAACAACGTACGTATGCGCAACAGTGCCCTATCGCAAGGAGGAGTACGTGGTGATCTCCAACAAGGCCTCGGTACGGATGTACAAGGCGCTGGTCAAGAAGGAGCAGCGCACCACGCAGATCAACATGAAGCAGGTCAAGAAGGGCTTCAGGGTACACTTGGCACCTCCCCTTCTCCCCCTCTCCCTCTTCTCAAGTGTAGCTCAACGTCAGTTGTCGTCGTCTTTCTTTCTTTTTTTTTATTCCTTCTGCACGCAGTACATGGAGGCCAGGTTCTTGATCGAGCAGGTGTGGTGTCAGGCATCCTCGATCTCAGGCGAGCCCGGCTCTTCCATGCAGTTGGTGAAGTGGCGCCGAGACCGACCACTGGATCGTTTCAACGTGGTCCTCATGACGGGTAATCGTACACGCACGCGTAGAATCAGTCGTGTGTGCGCGTGGTCTGACGTGTTGTGCGGCAGATCCCGAGGCGAAGGCGCACGACGAGGCGCAAGGAGACGTGGTGGACGTCTATGGGCAGGAGCTGGTGAACAAGGTCGATCGCACCATCGCCGAGTTCGTCAAGGACAAGGACATCGAGCTGCTTGAACAGGCCGAGCTCGCAAAGAAGGCAAACAAGTCAGGACAAGAGTGATTTTTTTTTAATGTGGCAAAATAAAAACAAATAAAATTTGATTTCAAATCAAAATTTGCGGCCCGTCGAGATCAAAGCAAGATGGAGGCCTATAAGAAATTGAAGGCGCGCAAGAGCAAGCACACGCACATCAAGCCGCCCAAGAAGGAAAAAAAGAAGCCTGCCACAGTAGCCAAACCTGCGCAGGCTAGTGCCGCCCCCCACGAGCGTCGAAGACCGGAGACCGTGATCGATGAAGAAGGTACCCTTGGCAACCACTTCAAATCTATAGATATATCTTCAAAGCCGGAATTCCATCTATAGATGGAAGACTTGCTCTTGTGTCCAAGATTAATTTAGATTTATATTATTTTTGTTCGTATCGCCATTTGCAGAGATTCAGGAGCGCAAGATTTACAGTCGCAGAAAGGTGTCGAGCAATGCCTACCGCTACGAGCTCGAGGAGGCGAGTGCCGCGGGGGGCGAGGGTGGCGTCGACGCGGAGAGGAGCAGAGCCCCCTCGCTCAAGGAGCTGCTCGAAAACGCTGGTGAGTGGTTCTGCACAGCCCCTCCTCCTCCACACTTTGCACGTTGGCGTAGCCGCACGCGCGCTGACGCTTTGTTTATTCCGCTTCGGCGTCTCGGATGGTGATGGTGCGATGGCGTGTACGTGCAGCGAGCAAGGACCCTTCATCCCACTTTCGGTTCAGGGAGGAGCGTGAGTGGAACGAGATCGCCAAGACGGCTGCGCACACCAAGGCATGCCACCCGAATCCTTCTCTCCCGTTGCTTCTGCACTCTTGCGACTCTGAACCACAGCTGCTCACCCCCTGCGCATGCGGCCCGGTGGTGCGGTTGTGTTACCTTTACGCACCCAGGCGGGCCTCGACTTTGAAAAGCTGGGCCGCAGTTTGGCCACCCTCCCATTAGCCGTGCGATTGCAGCTCGAGGGCGATCTGTTCGTACGTGGAACCCAGCTTCGAAGTACGGCGGCAATGCCCGTGGCCCGGCGTTCGCTGACAACGTTGGTTCCTGACCTTGGCAGGGCAAGCCCGTGGGCGGGGAGGCGGACGAGAGCTGCTCCTCGGACGAGGAGAGCGAAAGCGAAAGCGAAAGCGAAGCGGAGGAGGTAGAGCCCTCGGGCAGCGAAAGCAGGGCTCGGGCGGAAAAGAAAGTGCCAACGCCGGACGAGCGCTCGCCGTCAACCGAACCCAGCCGACAGCAGCCACTTCTGCCCGAGGCCGTGCGACGACCCCTCGCCTCCGCGCAGGAAGCGAAGGCGGACATCAACGAGGAAGACCTCCTCGAGGAGCTTTTGGGAATGCCTAGCGAAGAAGTCGCAAGCCAGGCCACCACCGCACCATCACTGTCGTCATCATCAGGTTCGTCCATTTGTTTGTGTGGTCAGCAGTGCAAGAAACGATGGCTCAGCTGTGTCTATCTATCTTCCCAACTACATCATCAACAGGCAACGATGCGGCGGCCGCGGCCCAGCAGACGTCAGAGGGCGGCGGCGACCTCGAGTCGTGGCTTGACTCAGTGATCTGAGGTGCGGTGCCCACACAAGAAAGGTAACAAAAAAGAAATAAAATTTGACATGGAATGCGAGCAATTCTAAACATGCTTGGCGCGCATTTCTTTGGCTTCCCTTTTAGGCACAGCCGTGCCCGATTAGCGCCACACATAACCGGAGCAAATCGCAAGCGGGCGGCGCTTGGCGAGCTTCTTTGGCTTTGGCGTATGCGGTTTTGTTTTTCTGTCTTCTTTCGCACGGCCAGCACCCATCTAAAAAAGTGGTCCTCTTCAGGAAGGAAGTCCTTTGTGCCAGGGAGCTCGCCATGAAGTCTCTCACGCTCGGGTACGAGAAGCTCTTGACTCTTCTAACCTCTCTTCTCCTCACTCTTTTTTTTTCAAACTACGTCCTTGGTTGGTGTTGATGGATCCCCCTTAGTCAATCTCTCGATGTTCACTGCCCCCGAATTCATTCTCCTCCCAAATGGACCCCTACTACTGAAGTGCTAACACATTGTTGGTGTCGCATCTACAGAGTTTTCTGCTTGCTCATAGCGTGCGTTTCGGCGACGCTTGTCATCAACGAGATAGATATCTCGCAAACCTCGTCCAACTTCAACGAGTTCGTCGAGTTGAAGAACATCGGCACCACCACTATCAACACCCTGAACTACACCCTCGGCTTCTACGATAGCGGCAACCAGGTCGACCAGCAGCCGCTTCTCGACTTTGATGTCGCCCCGGGCGCCTACTACGTGATGTGCCTCTACCCCTCCAAGACGCTCCTCTGTACGCAGGAGGTCAAGGTGAACCGCCTCTCCGGCGAGGCCCTCTTCAGTAACTGGATCGCCAACGAGAATTCGACCGTGATCCTCTTCGAACAGAACACGCGCGTCGACCTGGTCGGCTACGCCGCGCTCGCGGGCATGAACAGCGCCTGGTACCTGGGCACCTCGGCCGCCCCCTCCGACAGTGTGTCGTGGATCGGCACGTCGGTCTCGCGCACCCCCGACGGCAGCAACACCAACGACAACGGCCGAGACTTCATCCACACGTGCCGTACCCCCGGTAGGGCCAACTCGAACTTGCCCGCCTCGATCAGCTGCGCCGCCGACACGGATGTCGAGTTGGTGATCAACGAGGTCGACTACACCCAGAGCTATCTGGGCTTCGTCAACGACTCGCGCGAGTTCATCGAGCTGCACAACCGCGCCAACATCCGGCCCGCCCTCACCGAGAACACCAGTCTCTACCGTCTGCGCATCATCGCCGCCGACAACTCCACCGTCCGCACCATCACCGTCTCCGGCCGCCTGTTCCCGCTCACCGTCCCGCTCCACGGCTACTTCACCATCTGCGCCTTTGGTTCGGGCGTGTGCGATGGCGTCGGCGCCAGGAACGTCAGCGCGGCCGCCAACGCCACCAACGGCTTCCTCGACACCGGTCTCAACTGGATCCCCAACCCGGGCGATAACGGCAGCCCCTACTTCACCATCCAGCTCTTCAAACAGAGCGGTGCCACCGTGATCGTTCAGGACACGGTCACCTATGGCGGCACCCACCCCGGCTACACCTCCGGCACCGGCGCTGGCGACCTCGATCGCGCGATCGAATCCCGGTACAGTTTGTCCCGCTACCCCGACAGCTACGACACCAAGAACAGCGCCGTCGATTGGAGCGCCCGGTACGTGCCCCCTCCTCCTCCTTCCCCCCCCCATCACCTTTTCTCTCTTCCTCCTTCTTCTTCGCATTCAATCGATTCTCCAAACCCCCCCCCCCCAAATCTTGCTTTTTGTCCCCCTGCCTTGTTTTCCACTTCTTCCTTCAACCCTCTGAGTGGGGCTGACCTTGTGATGCGGGTCTGTGCAGGTGCTCCACTCCCAACTCGGAGAACGTGGTAACCAGCAGCAACTGTGACCCGGCCAACTCGCCGTCGCCGTCGCCCTCGCAGACGCCCTCGCCGTCCAACACGCCCACCCGCTCGCCGACCAGCTCGCCGACAAGGACCCCGACGCCCTCGTCGACCAACTCGCCGACCCGCTCGCCGACCAGCTCGCCGACAAGGACTCCCTCGCCCTCGTCGACCAACTCGCCCACCCAGTCGCCCACCAGGACCCCGTCGCCCTCGTCGACCCAGTCGCCAACCCAGTCGCCCACCCAGTCGCCCACCCAGTCGCCCACCAGGACCCCGTCGCCCTCGTCGACCCAGTCGCCGACCAACTCGCCGACCCAGTCGCCCTCCAACTCGCCGACTAACTCGCCGACCCAGTCGCCCACCAACTCGCCGTCGAACTCGCCCACCAGATCGCCCACCAGCACGCCCACCAACTCGCCGTCCAGCTCGCCCTCCAGGACTCCGTCGCCCACTAACTCGCCGTCCAGCTCGCCCTCCAGGACTCCCTCGCCCACTAACTCGCCGTCCAGCTCGCCCTCCAGGACTCCCTCGCCCTCGTCCACCAACTCGCCGTCCAACTCGCCGTCCAGCTCGCCCACCAGATCGCCGACCCAGTCGCCTACCCAGTCGCCCACCCAGTCGCCGACCAACTCGCCTTCCAACTCGCCCACCAGCTCGCCCACCAGATCGCCCACCAACTCGCCCACCAACTCGCCCACCAACTCGCCGTCCATGACCCCGTCGCCCACCAACTCGCCGACCCAGTCGCCCACCAGGACCCCGACCCAGTCGCCGACCAACTCGCCCACAAACTCGCCGACCAACTCGCCCACCAACTCGCCCACCAACTCGCCCACTAACTCGCCGACCCCGTCGCCCACCAGTACCCCGACCCCGTCGGTTACCAGGACCCCGTCGCCCACAAACTCGCCGACCCAGTCGCCCACCAATACCCCGACCCCGTCTGTTACCAGGACCCCGTCGCCCACCCAGTCGCCGACCCAGTCGCCCACCAGTACCCCAACCCCGTCGGTTACCAGGACCCCGTCGCCCACCCAGTCGCCCACCCAGTCGCCGACACAGTCGCCCACTCAGTCGCCGACCCAGTCGCCCACTAACTCGCCGACCCAGTCGCCCACCAGGACCCCGTCGCCCACCAACTCCCCGACCAACTCACCCACCAACTCCCCGACCAACTCGCCCACCCAGTCGCCCACCAGGACCCCGTCGCCCACCAACTCACCCACCAACTCGCCCACCCAGTCGCCCACCAACTCGCCCACCAACTCGCCCACCAACTCACCGACCAACTCGCCCACCAACTCGCCCACCAACTCCCCGACCCCGTCGTCCACCAGGACGCCCACCCCGTCGCCCACCAGGACGCCCACCCCGTCGCCCACCAGGACTCCGTCGCCCTCGGTCACCCCGTCGTTCACGCCCCGCGCGCTCATCCCGCGAGCCCTCGCGCTCTGCGAAGTGGAGAAGGTCGACGGTGCCAACGAGGAGGCCGACCTGCTGGTCCAGCGCGACGAGCTCTGCGACGCGCTTCTGCCCGAGGCCGAGGCCGCGCTCGAGGCCAAGCAGATCGAGCTCGACTCCGCCAAGGCCGCCGCCGAGGACTGCTGGCTGCTGGCCGCCGCCAACTGCCCCATCCCGCAGAGGCGCGCCGAGATCAAGATGATGTCGAAGCAGGTCAGCGTCCTCGCCAGCCAGCACGCCAGGCACATCCAGTCCATCCGCAAGCCCAAGAAGATGGACAAGTCGGCCCCCAAGCCCGACGACCACAAGGCGATCGAGGAGAAGTTTGCTCGCAAGCACGCCAGCCGCAGCAAGAGGGAGGCCCGCGATGACGACCTCTTCTTTGAGCTCTACGAGCCGTTCCAGGAGGACCCCGAGTTCTCGCTCGAGGTGTGCCGCAAGAAGATGGCCATTCTCAGGTTCTACCACAAGTCGCTCCGCCAGAAGATCCAGTTCTGTAACGATTCCCGCATCTACGCCGACACGGTGTACGACGCCTACACCACCTTCATCGAGATCTACGAGGCCAGTCTCGAGCAGTGCGAGGAGGTGAACTGCACGATCAGCACGCCTTGAGCAGGCTGCTTTCTTTTTATCTCTCTCTCTCTCTCTTCGTTCTTTCTTCTTCGTCGCTGCCGCTGCTCTCGTTAGGCGATGAGCTTGGACGTTGCGCCATCTTTCTCCACGCGATTTAGTTCTTATTCTCTTGGTTAGTAAAACGAAAAAAAAACCTGCCCCCTTTTTGATGGACCACAGCACGTTGTTTGTCCAACTGATTGTCTGGAGCCTTCTTGGTGTCAAGAACTGGGAGAACTTCCAGATCAGCTGGATCATGCCTTCAACCCTCAATGTTGCAACATTCCACCAATGAAAAGCTCAAGCAACTAAAGGAACATATGTAGAAGCATGTTGCCCTCTTTACAAGAGGCAGATTTGGGTCAACCTCAGCTTGCACAGAAGTGTGTGCCTTCTTCAGGCACAGTTCCTGAAGGATGTGGGCCTCCTCTCCTTCCTCCACCTAAAGGTTCATCTCCTCTTTCCCCTGCCCTTCTTTGGCACTAACCTTTGCCATACCAGTGGTTAGATCCGTATGACAGAGTGCATCACTGCCCATCTCATTCTGCAATAGTTGCTCTTGCTGAGCTTTGTACCTTCTGGTGCATACCCTGGACTCCCTCCAGTGGTTCCCCATCCTGAGGTTTCCACAGAGCTGTTCTCACAAAGTTAAAATGGTTTTCCTGGCATCGCCAGGAAGTTGGTTGAGGTGAATGTGCAAATAAAGGCCTGCACATGTGGCATGTTTGAGTCCAGAAAGGTAATTGAACTGGATGAGATACAGGGGAACAACAAAGACATGTTGACGAAGTTGAAGGTGTAAAAGATACAATTAATCTGAACACCATTGAGAAATCCACCTGTTAGTAGTTGGTGGTGACCTCAGAAAACACGGAGCCAAAGAAATACAGCAGAGGCGGGTGGAAGCCTGGGATGCACAGGGGCGGTCCCAAAGGGGCGTCCACCCCCACGATTTTGGAGGAGCTTCAGCAGGACATGGTGGCCAATCCGCTCCTCATCGACACTGTGGAGTATCTCCGGGCCGCCTTTCCGGCACCCATCGCCTCCAACGAACCCTCGCCCGAAGCCCTCGCCGGTACGCTCATCTCACCCCCACTTCAGCTGTTTCTTTTGGTTTTGAAATCTGTTTGCCATCTGCGCAATCAACTGACGGGCCACTGGGTTTAGCGATTCCTACCATGACCCGGGCACGCCGCGCCTCGAGCATTGGGTCGGCCGAGGGCATCTACGGCCCCTTCGGCGCCTCCGGCCTTATCGAACTCCCAGGCATTCCTGCCCTGAGCATGAGGGACCGGTACGTGACCGCACCTTCCCTGGACCCAGCGGTAGAAGAGTATACTCTGCTCTATTAATAGTATATATAAATATATATTCTATATTCTATGTTCCAGCTCCGATACTACACCACAACCGACCACCTAATAAAATAATTGTGATATCTAGGTCCAACTCGAGCCTGATGAGCAACACGGACCTGCGGCGAACCATGTCGTGGGACATGAACGAGGACCTGGCCATGAACCACCAACAGATCCACCTGTCGCTAGAGCTCACCCAGCTCTCCTTCGAGATGAGCAGGAACTACTTCCTAGACTACATCCTGCGCGACCAAACTGGTGAGCATATCTGCTTTTAACACAGATGTCCACAGACACACAAGTTTGGTGACACACATTCCCCCTCAGGCCGCAAGGTGTTCATGCAGTTCCTCCAGACCCAGCACTGCGCCGAGAACCTCATGTTCTGGTATATATGTTCCCCTGCAACCCCGCTTATGTTTGTGGTTACAATGTGACTGAATGTGAGCATTTCTCACCACGATATGTATCAATATATCAACATGTAACCTGAACACACAGGTATGACGTGGAAAAGTATGCGGGACTCACAGATGATCAGCAAGAGCTGCGCGTGAAGAAGGCGCAGTACATCATGGCCAAGTATGTGTCCGCAGACTCGGAAACGGAGGTCAACCTGCCCTACTCCATCAAGCAGGATCTCCAGAAGAACCTCGCCCGCCCCACCAAGGACCTCTTCGCCGCGGCCCAGCGTAGCATCTTCCTGCTCATGGTCTACGGCACCCTCGACTACTTCCTGAAGAGCGAGCGATACCGCCTCTACAAAGGTTACTTGCTATTTTCCTCTTTTCATATTAATATCATATGTATTTCTACATATACGTATATATCGCCGATATACAACTCATGAGCTCCTCTGGACCAATGTATACAGCGACCAGAGAACAGAATCCGGGGTCGTTCGACGAGGACAGCATCACGGACGAGCAGCTGGAGCGGGCCTTGAAGGAGGCCAAGCTGCGCAAGGAGAACGGCGAGTCGCCGAGCGCTGACCCGAGGCTGGCCTCCAGTGGCGGCGCGGGAGGGAGCAAGGGGCGGCTGGGCCGTCGGTCCCTCAGCTTGCGGAGCATGAAGAAGACCCCGGCCCACGACAAGAAGAACTGCCTCGTCAGCTAATCAGAAAAAGAAGAAGATGTAGAAGGAGAAGCAAATGAAGAAACATCAAAAGCAGCTTTGGAAGAAGGTAGAAGTCGAGATATGTGGGACCTATGATTGGGTTAAATATAATTGTTAAAAAAAGACCGTAAATGTTGTTGTTGTTGTTGTTTGCAAGGTATGGTGCAGGTGTGGTGACTATGACGATCGACGTTCGAGACCATCACTGGAAGCTGCTGAACATGTCGTCGGAGAAGAGGTCGACGTCCTTGGAGGGCGTCTGGGCCGCGGGCTTCTTGAGCGCGGGCGGCGCGGCAAAGTCGTCAAAGAAGGAGGGCGTCTCGCCCGAGTCGCCAAAGAGCGAGTCGAGCGAGGGCTTGGAGGGCGTGGTCGCCGGCGTCTTGCCCGCCGTGCCCTTCGCCGCGGGGCTCGGCGACGGGGACGACGCCCCCGCGAAGAGCGACGAGTCGTCTCCGAACAGGCTGCTCTCCCTACCACCCAGCAGACCACCCACCCTGCAGTATTCGCACACGACACACGACACGACACACGACACGAGCGGGTAAGCGGATCGGTGAGTGGAGTAGGGTGGATTGGGGGCGGGGCGGGGCGTACGCAGAGGAGGCGTTGCCGGCGGGGGCCTTGCCCTTGGCGAGGAGGTCCTCCTCTTCTTCATCGTCATCACCGAACATGGAGGTCGACTTGGTGGGGGTGGGCGCGGGCGCGGCCTTCACCACGGTCGTCTCGCCATCACCGCCCAGGAGCGGATCCTCGAACACGGGAGGCGCGCTCACGTCTCCCTCCTCCTGCTCCTGCTCTTCCTCGGCCTCCTCCTCCTCCTCCTCCTCGGCCTCGGCAGCCTCCTCTTCCCCTTCTTCCTCGGCCTCGGCGGCCTCCTCTTCGCCCTCCTCGGCCTCGGCCGGTTCTTCGTCGTCCTCGGCCACCTCCTCGGTCTCTTCCTCGGCCTCCTCGGCAGCTTCCTCTCCACCTCCCTCCTCGGCCTCGGCCGCTTCTTCGTCGCCCTCGGCCACCTCCACGGCCTCTTCCTCGGCCTCCTCTCCCTCAACCTCTTCGGCCTCGGCCTCCTCGCCTTCGCCTTCCTCCTCCGCTGTCTCGCCTTCGGCTTCTTCTTCTTCTTCCTCGTCGGCCGGCTGCTGCTCCTCCACCGCTTCCTCCTCTGCCTCCTCCTCTGCCTCCTCCTCTGCCTCCGCCTCGGCAGCCTCGCTCGCCTCCTCCTCGTGCTGCTCCGCCTCGGCCTCCTCGCTCACCTCCTCCTCGTGCTGCTCGGGGGAGGCATCGCCGAAGGCGCCGAGGGGGTCGGCGACGGGGGCGGCCTGGGCGGCCTGGCCCTCGGTAGCCTCCTCCTCCTCCTGCGGGGCGTCGTCGAGATCGTCGTCCTGGTCCTCCTCTTCCTCATCGTCCGCGGCCGGGGCCGCCCCAAAGTTGGGCACGGCGCTCGGGGCCGGGGCCGCCTCGCCCTCTTCGTGGGCCTCGTCGCGGGGCGTGAGCAGCGCGTCGTCCAGCTCGTCCAGCGCCGACGCCGCCAGGTCCACCTCGCCCTCCTCCTGCTCCTCGGCCACCTCCTCGGCCTCCGCCGTCTCCTCAGCCTCGCCCTCCTGGGCACCAGCTGGCGCGGCCGGCTCGGTCTGCTCCTCGTGGTCGTCGGCCTGGTCGGCCTGGGGCTTGTCCCCGGCTGTCTCGGTCTGCTCCTCGTGGTCGTCGGCCTGGTCGGCCTGGGGCTTGTCCTCGGCTGTCTCGGTCTGCTCCTCGTGGTCGTCGGCCTGGGGCTTCTCGTCGTGGTGGGCCTCCTGGGCCTCCTCGGCGGTGGCGGCCTTCTGGGGCGGGGCGAAGAGTGGGTCCTCGGCCTCCGTGAAGAGCTCGCCCTCCTTGACCTCGAGGTCCCTGAGCGTGGAGCTCTTCGTCCTCTCCCCGAAGAGCAGTCCGCCCTCCGCCTCCTTGGCCTCCGCCTCGGTCGCCTCGGCCTTGTCGGCGGCGGCGGTCTCGGTCTCGGCCTCGGCGTCGACAGTCGTGGCCTCCTCGGCCTTGTCGGCGGCGGCGGTCTCGGCCTCAACCTTGTCGGCGTTGTCGGCTTCGGCGTCGGCGTTCTCTTCGGCGTCGGCGTCGTCCTGGGCCTGCTGGAGGAGGGAGACGGTGGTCTCGCGGATGGTGGCCTTGAGGGAGTTCATGATGGTCTCGCCGTCGTAGGCCTCCTCGTCATCGAACTCACCCCGGAGCGAGAAGAAGATGTCGTTCATGATCTTCTTGATGCTGCCAGTCATGTCCTCCTTGGCCTTCTCGCGCACCTCGTGCAGCTTTTGCGCGCTCTCGCGCTTCACGCGCTCCAGCTCGGCCTTGGCGGCCTTGGCCTCGCGGGCGTGCTGGTCCTTGAGCTCCTTCTCGCGGCGGCGGAGGCGGTCGGCGGCGTCGCGCTCGGCCTGGTGGAGGTGCTTGGCGACCTCGTCGGCCTGGGCGTCGCGCTCGTGCTGGAGAGCGTCCTTGGCCTTGCGCAGGGCGGCCTCGAGGGTGCGCTTCTCCTCTTCGTGGGCGGCCTCGAGCTCGCGGCGGGCCTCCTCGGCCTTCTTGCGGCGCTCCTCGAGCTTCTTCTCGAGCGCGGCGATCTGCTCGACCTTCTCGGCGAGCTCCTCGCGCAGGGCGTTGTTGTTGGTCTGGGCCTGGCGCTTGGCCGTCTTCTCCTCCTTGAGCTCGACAGTGGCCTCCTTGAGCTGCTCCTCGAGCGCGAACTGCTTGCTCTTGTAGAGCGAGTTCTCGCCCTTGACCCGCTCGAGCTCGTTGGCCAGCCGGTCGCGCTGCTCGTTGGCCTCCTCGGCCACCTTGGTCATCTGCGCCGCCTCGCGCCTGCGGTCGTTGAGCTCCTGCATGGCCTCGGTGAGCTCCTCCTCGAGCTTGGCCTTCTGCTCGCGCACCGCCATCAGGTTGCGCCGCGCCAGCTCCGCGCTCTCCTTCAGAGTGTCCGCGCGCTGCTCCTGGATCTTGTTGTGCTGGTCCAGGAACGAATCGTTCTTCGAATGCAACACCGTGATTTGCTCCCTATGATCGTACGGATGTTCCGTCAGCACGTGTCGTGTGTCGTGTGTCGTGTGTGGGGTAGTACCGGAGGATGTCCATCTTGTTGGACTTGTCGGAGACCTCCTTCTTGAGGAGTTCGTTCTCGTCGATCATCTTTTGGATGGTCTGGAGGAGGAGGATGGGCGTGAGGCCGGTGGCGGCGCCGTAGGAGCCCTCGCGGGTGGCCCGTCCGCCAAAGATCTGAACGGTGCGGTGGACCTCCTCGACCTTCTCGCTCACATCCTTGAGCGTGCGCTGCACGTCGTTCTGGAACTCCTTCTGCTCCACCAAGATCCCGATCATGTCCGTCGGCACGCTCTTCTCCCGCGCCGGCGCCTGTCATGATCGATCCACCAACAAACCACCACCACCAGGCGAGTGAGGTGAGTCGTGGGACACACATCCGCGCGGAAAGTGGAGGCGCGGTACCGGAGTGGTGAGTGCGGCCTGGTGCTGGGAGAGGAGCTGCTGGGACTGCTGCTGCAGCTGCAGCACCTGCTGCTGGAGCTGGGCCTGCTGCTGCTGGTAGGGGTCCACGGCAGGGGCTATGTGCACAAAGGCACGACCATCGCGGCCACCCGAGTCAGTCCTCCGTGTTGGTGGGGTTATCATCATTGGGGGGGGGCGTACCAGGGGCAACGACAGGCTGCACCACGGGCGGCTGCAGGCCGTACGGCTGCTGCGGCTGAGGCACGGGCTGCTGCTGGTAGGGCTGCTGGACGGGAGCGCCGTAGGGCTGCGGCTGCTGGCCGTACACGCCGGGCTGCTGGTAGGGCTGCTGCGGCTGCCCGGGAGCAACGAGCGCGAGCTGCATGGAGCCGCCGTAGGGTTGCTGCTGCTGCTGCTGGTAACCCGGCTGCTGGGGCTGCGAGAGGAAACTCTGGGGCTGCTGCTGCTGCTGCTGAGGCATCTGCTGCTGCTGGGGCTGCATCTGGACCTTAAGGAGGCGACGCACGCGAGACTTAGAATACATAGAAATGTCGATCATGTTGGTGGTCGCCCGACAGAGAGGGGGGGGGGGTACCGGAGAGTACTGCGGCTGCGGCTGCTGTTGCTGGGCCTCCATGTAGTGATCCTGCGGGGAGCCGTACGACTGGGCCTGCTGCTGCGGTTGCGGCTGCCGCTTGGCCGCCTGGACGGAGCCGGGGCCGGCGAACGGGGTGGCCGTGGCGCCGAGGTTCTTCATCTTCTGCACCAGGTCGGCCCGCAGCTGCTGCGACGAGTTGACGCCAACGTTGCCGTCGTCGTCCTCGTCATCGGTGACGTCGGCGGAGATGTCCGCGCCCATGTCGGGCGCCGGCGAGTTGGGGAAGAGAACCGGCGGGAGGCCCGAGGCCGAGGCCGAGCTCGTGCGGGGGCGGGCGGGCGGCTCCGAGGCGCGGCGCACCTTGATCAGCTCAAGCTCCAGCACGAGTGTGGCGTGCGGCGGCACGGGCGACCGGCCCGACGCGCCGTAGCCCAGCTGGGGCGGAATCGCGATGATGCGCTTGCTGCCGCGCTTCATGCCGACCATGCCCTCGTCCCAGCCCTTCACCACAGTGCCTGCGAAGCGAGAGAGAGAAGAGCATGACGATGTGTAAGACGAGAGGGATCGAGCGGGAGGGGGGCAATGTGCGAACCGGCGCCGATGGCTAGCTTGAGGGGATCGCGGCCGGCGTTGGAGTCGTAGGGGGCGCTGCCGAGCTTGCCGTCGGCGCCCACGATCCACCCGCTGTAGGTGACCGCCACCATGTCGCCCGCACCAACGCTCTGTGTACAGAACCGGCGGCCCATGTGTCAGTCAGTCAGCTCAACTCACCAGCAAAGCTCGAGCATCGCGAGCGCGCGCGCGGTGAGGGAGTGGGGTGGCCGTACGTTGCCCTTGCCAGGCTTGATGTCCTGCACGACGAGCGGGCGCGAAGGGTCGGACAGAGTCTTGGCGACCGCGATGAAGCTGGCGAACTTGACGCACTCCTCGTGCTTGGCGAACATGATCGTCCAGTTGCGGCTGTTACTGTCGTTGAAGTTGCAATACACGTCATTTTGAACCTATACGCGCGTGTCGTAGGCAAACACGAGCACGTCGATGTGAGCAAGACGAGCCGAAGCAGAAGCAGAACAGAACCCGGTCCAGGCACGAAGTGAGTGTGTAGCGTACGATGAAGTTGAACTTGGGCGAAATGTTGATGCTGCACACTTGCTGCTTCTTGTTGTAGTAGAGGTAGAGCTGGAACTTGTGCGCTTCCACGTTGCCCAGCACGGCCGCTCCTACCTTGCCCAACGGGCTGTGCTCCTGCTTCGCATTATCGCTGTTCGTGTAGCGCATAGAGGGAAAAAAGGGGGGCGGGGGTGAGTAAAACTCGTTCGTGTAAAGAACAAGTTGATGTTGACAAGAAGAGGAAGGAAGAGACATGGTAGAGGGGCGTACTATTGGAAGAGCTGGACGGGGTTGGCATGAAGAAGGGAAAGAGGCGCGTCCTTGGCGGGCGCGGGAGCGGCCTGTGGGACGTTCTTCTTGGGCTCCTTGGCTGGTCGGTACTGAAGGCTCTGGTTGCCCTGCTGCGGCGCCTTCCCGTTGAACAGCGAACCGAGAGTGGAGGGGCTGGGAAGAGAACGTTATTATGATGTATTTTTTCGTATCCTTATTTTAAAATATTAGAATTAAAATGGTTTATTGAACTCAATAGTGGCGGGGGGGGGCTTACCCTGATGGGGCAGCATCAAAGCTGCCAAAATCGTCGCTACTGGGGCGTCCGGAGGCGCGCTGTTTGGGTTGATTGAGCATCGTCTAAGCGAGTAGGGGGCGCCGAATAATTGGTTAATGAAATTATCGTCGCGTAGAAGATCGCAACAGTAAGAGCAACAGATAGAACAGTTGCCGACGCCAGTGACGCCTGTCTAAATGATGTGCTCGAGAGAATTGGGGTCAGCGGCTCGAGTCGGCGTCAATAACGAAACTTGCAACCAAGCTGAAGCTTCTTCGGGGCGATTGGGGGGGGGGTAGAAAACTCTCTCTCCTTTCCTTGCGCGACGCGCAGTGGCAGTATTGCGTCTCTCATCTTCTGATCAGAGGGGCACGGGCCTCACGAGCCGAACGGGCAGTCCACTTAATTGCTCACGATGAAAATGTAAATAAAGGGGCAGTAAATGGATGGTCGACTGGACAGTGTTGGATTTGGAGAGTAGAATGAGACACAGCGCGTTTAGAACTGGATGGCAGCTCCCTTCTTCTTCTTCTCACCGCCCAACTCGAAGTGCTTGCACCTCTTGATGACCTGCTGGTGCTTCTGCTTGCAGATGGTGCACTCCATCCTGAGCACGATCTTCTTCGTCGTCTTGGCCTTCTTCTTGAAGACGGGCTTGGTCTGACCACCGAAGCCGGACTGCTTTCTATCGTAACGCCTCTTACCTACGCCATCGCAAATGTAATGTAAGCGGTAGCCAACGGAGCCGATGGGGTAAATGCATGCGAAAATGCGGAGGAAAGGGCATACCCTGGGCGAAGAGGGAGGCCTTGCCAGCCTTGTACTGGGCAACCTTCTGCGGGGTGTGCTTCTTGCACTTCTTGCAGAAGGTGTTCCTGGTCTTAGGAATGTTCACCTGTGATGAGGGCAGAATGGCATCGATTAGGCATCAATCCTCCATGGTCTCGTCTGCGCATAGCTCTCCGCTACATAGTCTCTCGAGTACGGACACAACCCACACCCACCACGCATCGCATCAGGGCCAAGGCTAATGCGTACCATTTTTTTGCTTACTCCCAAAGGGCCGGCCGAAAGAGGAGGATGGTGATGCGGAGGAGAGAGAAAAGAGGAAAGAGGTGGGAGTTGGCATTGTGGGATTTATCCCGATTTGTCCCTTTTCTCTTATTTTCTCGGTTTGCACCAACTAAGAAATTCTCTTTTCATCTTCCGCTGAAGCGCGCAGTCGCCCATTGGTTCCTGCTCTCTTCTCAGACGGGCTACAGTGCAACCGGACTGCCAACCCGATGGGACCATTCAGGGAGGTACTGGGGTTTATTCAGACGTCGACGACCCGGGGGTGTCATCGACCACCTTCGGCGCCACGGCTCTCTTCCCTCGTCCCCGCCCAGCATTCGGCACTGCCGCCGGCGGGGCGACGTGGGCCTCCTTCTTCTGGGCCACCGCCCGCGAGGCCTTGCCCACGGGAGGTGTAGGAGCGCAGTCTCGGTGCTCGTGTACGTCGTGGCGATGGGTTTCGGCGTTTTCCGTGAGCGCCGCCTCGTCGCCCTCGATGATCCGCTGGATCAGCTCCGTGGCTTTGGCCGGTCGCTTCTCCTTCTTCTTCTCCCGCAGCTTCTTCACCTCGACGCTCACCTCGTTATGGTCCGGTATGATCGTTGGGAAAGCCTTTGCTGTGGGAGGCGGTGACGTCGGTGTCGGTGTTGATGTCGCTGGCGACGTGGGCGTGGCCGCTGATGGTGTAGACGAACCGTTGCGGGCGGCGGCCTTGGCGGCCTTGTCGCGTTTGTGCTTGCGCTTCTCCTTCTCCTCGAGCCGCTTGAAGTGGACGGCCATCTGCTCCTCGAGGTGGACCGACACGTTGAGATTGACGACGCCCATCACGTTGACGCCCGACGACACCGTCGCCTTGGTGAAGCCCTCGTCCACCAGCTGGTAGACCGATATCTTGAGCACCTTGACCATCTGCGACACCGCTCCCTCCAGCGTCTTGTCCTGCTCCGCCAGATCAACAATCAACCAACTGATAGTGCGCCCGCGCGGCACACACCACACACACATTGGGGGGGGGGGGCGTTTATTGCGCACCTTCCCGGCGTCGATGGCGTCCTTGGCGATATGGATGGTGTCCTCCACGGTCTCCTTGACCGCGGTGACGACTTCGCTGGCAACGGTGACAACATCAGCGGTCACCTCCGCGCCCACACCTGCAACAGCGTGAGCCACACCCGTCACCTTCTCTGCCGTTGTCTCACCACCGGCGTGGAGGCACAGATGACACGACAACACAGAGCGCGGTGCGGGTGACGATGAATGTGAAGGGGCGGCAGTGGTGGTGTGGCGGCACACAGAGCGCAGGCAGGCGTGGGGTGGCCGTTGTTGCATGGAGGTGGCGGCCGTGGCGGCGGCAGATGCGGAGCGGCAGGCAATGGGAAGAGAGAAAACAAGGATGAGGTGAGGGGAGGGATAAACACCATCATCCACAGGCACGGGAGCTTTCGTTACGGAGGGGTCACTACTTTCTTCTATACACACGCTCAGCATCGCGGCAACATCAGCGCCACAACTCGCGACCGACACGCAGTAGTGAGAAGAAGGAAGTGGTACCAGTTACGGATTCGGTGACCGAGCCAACGGTCTCCACCACCTTCTCGTTGGTGCCCGACACGATCTCGCTGGCCTTCTCGGTCAGCTTCTTCCCTGTTGGCCCGCCAGACAACCCAACGTTGCACAAAGGCTCTTGTCAGTCTCGCGAACTTCCAATCTCACAAAACGTGGCTGCGGAGCGCCCAAAGGGGGGGGGTCGTGCCAGTCTCCGCGATGCTGGCCACTACGCTCTGCAGTGGCCCCATCTTCTCCTCCCCGCCTTCCTTTTTCTCTTCGTTCTCCAGGAGAAGTCCGGTGACTTCGTCGCTTTCACTTTCGCTGTCGCTTTCGTTTTCCTTCTTCGCTTTCTCTCTTTCCTTGTTGGCCACTTGGCTGTAGGTCTCCCCTTCTCTCAGCTCCGCCGCTGCGAGCTCCTTGCGAGGGGGCTGATCGCTGGCGTAGGTTCGCCGTCGTCCGCTCAGCAGAAACCCAGGCGCTGTGCTCCATGATGAGGGAGAGGAGGGCGGCCAGGTTGGGTGTGGTCTCAGGTCTACATGGAGGCGTGAGGAGGCCAAGCCGCCTCTCCCAGTGGAGGCAAAGTGTGTGAGCGCCAGCCTTCGCATTGCCGATGTGGTGCGCTTTGTGTGTGATAGGAATAAAAAAACTCGAGGTCGTCTTGTTGGTCGGCGGACAAACGAACACAGCGTGTGTGACTCATTCAGGCCGCTTTCCTTCCACTTTTCTTCGCGCTTTCTGGCATGCACCCTTCTCTCACATTCTTCTTCTTCTTGGTGCCGGATGTTCTTGTTCTCAATGCGTTGCTATCTCAGTTCCTCCGGCGATCAAGGATCATCGACGAAGAAGGGACTCAAGAACAGTCCAACGATTGTCTTGGTCGATTTTAGTTGGGCCGGACTATTTCTACTTGTTGCCGACTTTTATGGCCCAATCGCAAGTTTTGGCAGCGCTCAAAAACATGCAGGGGAGGATGGTGCGCACAAACACCCAAAACAGACATGGCCCAAGCCGCAGCGCCCGTGGTGTCCCCCGTGACCGCTACCTTCCAGACCTTCTTGTCCGATCCCGTCTTTGCCACCTATGTCCTTTGCGTTGTCATCTTGACCGTGAAGATGGTTCGCGCCACTTTTCGCTTTCAGATTTCTCGTTTTTTAGCACAATCGCTCTCATTTTCCTCATCTTCGTTTTGGCAATGCAATTTGCGTGGGCGTGCGTGTGCAGCTTGTGGTCTCGTTCAACGTGACGCGTCTTCGCCTCTCGCTGAAGGCCTTCAAGTACGAGGAGGACTACGTCAAGGCACCCAAGGAGAAGGCCAAGGAGCTGCTGACCAAGACCGCCAACCACCCGCGCATCACCCGCGCCTATGGCCTCCACACCAACGACATGGAGAACATCTACGTCTTCTACACCATCGGTACGCATCTTGTGGTTCAATTCTACAAATTCGTCCTTCGCAATCGAGTAGAGGACTGATTGAGTGCTTTTCTCGTTTTGTGGGGGTCTGGGCAGGTCTGCTGTTCGCTCTGACCTCGCCGTCGGTGTTCTACGCCAAGGCTCTGCTGTGGACGTACACCGGCGCGCGTGTGCTGCACACCGTGTTCTACCTGGCCAGCGTGCAGCCGTGGCGCGCGGTGAGCTACCTGGTCCATGTTGTGGCGCAGGTGCTCATGCTCGTGCACATCGGCAGCACCGTCCTCACCTACCTGTGAGGTCCGGGCCAAACAATAAATGAAATATTATTTAGTTTCGTGTGAAATTAGTTTTTAAATTGACAATTTTTTCTTCGAAACAGAAAAACACAACTTAACGAGCGCAACGGCTAGCCGCTAACGACAGAACACCAACGAGCAAGAGAGATCGAAGAAGAGGAAAGAAAGATGTGTGGTAGGGCAGCGTGCACACTAGCGCCGGAGGAGATTCAGAAGCAGACCCATGCCAAGGCGTTCGAGGGCGCGGAGGAGTACAAGCCCTCGTACAACATCGCGCCGCACCAGATGCACGTGGCCATGCTTCTCGACGCCGACGGCCAACCCATACTAAAGCTCATGCGCTGGGGCCTGGTACGTTGCACATCAAAGAAGATCTCTCGCACCTTACTCAAAAGATTCAATCTTGTGTGACCAGGTGCCGAGCTGGAGCAAGGACGGAACCGTCAAGATGCACACAATCAACGCTCGTGCCGAGTCACTTACCACCAACAACCTGTGGCGAGGTGTCGTCAAGCGCAAGCGCTGCATCATCCTCGTCAGCGGGTACAGCTTTTACTTTTTTATATTTATTTATTATTTCAATTTTTTTTGTGTAGCACTGCATGGCTAACCATGTGCGCTCTCGCGGGTCTTCAGCTACTTCGAATGGATCACGGAGAAGGGCCAAAAGATTCCGTTCTACATCCACAGCGACGACCCGCAGCAGCTCCTCTATCTCGCCGGCATGTACGACGTGTGGACCGACCCCAAGACGGGCGAGAAGCGCTACACCTGCACCGTCGTCACCACCGAGAGCAGCCCACAGCTCGCCCACATCCACGTACCACCCGCCACCGCCGACACCACCCTCTTCACACAGAGCTGTTTCCTGACTGTCTTCTTCTTCTTCTTCTTCTTCTGCAGGACCGCATGCCGGTGATCCTGGGGAGCGAGGAGGCGAGGGAGATGTGGCTGCGGGCCGACGGCAACGACCCGTCGAGCGAGGTGCTGCGCCTGCTGAGGCCCTACAAGGGCGAGCACGTCGTGTTCGACAAGGTCTCCACCATGGTCAACTCCATCAAAAACGTACCTTCTATCAACGAACCCAATGCTTCCTCCCAGAGAGCGCCTTCTCATCATGCTTGTTGTGTGCGCGTGTCGTGTCTCGTGTCTCGTGTCTCGTGTCTCGTGTCTCGTGTCTCGTGTCTCGTGTCTCGTGTCTCGTGTCTCGTGTCGTGTCGTGCGGTTGGCGATGTGGCGAACAGAACTCGCCCGAGTGTCTGGTGCCGGTGGATCGGCTGGCGAGCAAGAAGCACGGCATCCTTACCTTCTTCAACCCCACCGTCAAGGCGGAGAAGGTCAAGGCGAAAAAGGCGGGCGAGCCTGGGCCTGATGCCACCACGAAGGACGAGAAGAAGAAGGTCAAGACAGAGCCGATGGACGAAGAGCAGAAGAACATCAAGATCGAGCCAAAGAACGAAGAGGAGGAAGAGGAGCAGGAAGAAGTGGAAGAGAAAGAAGAGAAGAAGCGCGGTGTGAAGCAGGAGCCCAAAGAAGAAGACGAAGACGAGGAACAGGAAGAGGTGGAAGACATTGATGACGACGAAGAAGAGGACACACAAGGCGGCAAGAGGAGAAAGCAGCAACCACCCGCCCGAATCGCCAAACGCAAGAGGAGACGAACCGACGCCAAGTGACCCGTTGCAGTGCAACACTCTGTACATAGTTTTCCCATTTAAAGAATTTATTCCTGATTTTTTTGTTTTTTCGGCGGAAGTGGTTTCACAACGCTCCAAAAATGCATAAATAATCTAAAATAAAGTACAGAACAAATAACAAATAAATATGTCCCGAAGGAAAAAGCTGTACACTTTGTTTTGTTTTTTAAAATCCCAAATCGGCTACAATAAATAATGACGCAAAGCGAGGCTCAGCCGCTGTACCAGGGGAAGATGACGTGGGTAATGATGAGATAGACGGAGGCCGTGGCCGTGGAGATGAGCATGCACGGGAAGCCCATGGCGAAAAACTTGGCAAAGCTGATGTGCGTCCCCGATTGCTCCGCTATGCCCGCCGCCACCACGTTCGCCGAAGCTCCTGCACACCACCCAACGTTGAGCAAAACCTTTGTCGTAGGACGTGTGCCGTGTGTGTCGTGTGTCGTGTGTCGTGTTGTGTCGTGTGTCGTGTGCCGTGTGTTGTGTGTGTTGTGTGTACCGATGAGAGTGCCGTTGCCGCCGAGGCACACGCCAAAGGCGACGGCCCAAACGAGCGGCTGGAGCGGGAGGCCGAGGCCGCTCTGCGAGAGCTCCACCACCACGGGCACCATGGTCGTGGTGAACGGGATGTTGTCGATGAATGCCGAGACCAGCGCGCACACCCACATCAACAGCAAGATGGCGAAGCACAGACGAATACGGCCCTGCAGTCGTTTGGGAATACAAAGGAGACTGAGTCGAGCAGAGCGTATGTCGTGTGTCGCGATGTGTGTCGCGTGTGTGTCATGTGCGTCGTGTGCGTCGTGATGTATGTCGCGTGTGTGTCGTGTGCGCCGTGTGTGTGTGCCGTGGTGCGTACCTCGGGGAAAATGGACACAATGTCGGCGGTCATGCGGGCAAAGAAGAGCATCACCCCCATTTCCTCGAGGCAGCGCATGAGCACGAAGAGGCCGGCGAAGAAGAAGAGGGTTCCCATCTCCACCTTGGCCAGGATGGGCTCCAACTCCTTCGCGTCGATGATCGTCTGTATCGACGCACGCGACACGACACACGCAACATGACACGCACGACACGACGCGACACGACACACAATGAATGGCCTGGTGCGTGTGTCGAGCGGAGTGGTGGTGCGCACCAGAAGCAGGAGGGCGCCGAGAATGGCGATCCACGGGATGTTGAGGTGGATGGAGGAGACAAAGGGGTGGATGAAGAAGAGGGCCACCACCCCGAAGATGACCGACACGCTCTTGATGAAGAGGGGCACGTCGCGGATGCGGTACTTGCGCTCGAGGGCGTGGATGTCGAGCTTGCCCTCCTCGTCGCCGCCGCCGCCGCCGCCGTCGCCGCCGTCGCACTCGCCCTCGGCCTCGATCATGAGGGCCGACGAGGCGGCCATGCGGCTCTCGTGCATGAGCCGCTGCTTCTCCTCCTTGGCCTGCTGCTTGGCCTCCATGTGCTTCTCCAGCACGTCGATGTACTCCAGCAGCTTGGTCTGCACGTTCTTCTCCTCATCCGTCGCCGCCTGCACGCGCCGAACAGTGAGCGTGAGAGTTCGCACACGCACACGCACACGCACACGCACACGCACACGCACGACATGACACGCACCAGTTCGAGTTTGTCGGCGGTGCGTTTCCATATCTCGATCTCCTTGAGGACGGGGTCGACGTAGGACCGCTGGAAGAGGTGGTGGTACGTTTTCCAGAAGTAAAGCAACGTTACCACGAACGCCAACGCCGCTCCTGCACACAAACACACCGCCCGAGTTAGGCGCTACGCCGACCCTACAAAGAACGAACGCGACGCGACGCAGGGGGGGGGAGCGGACCAGGTGCCATGTGGTAGGTGAAGACGTTGAAGTCGACGAGTTCGGTGGCCTGAAGGTGGGAGTTGGAGATGATGAGGATGTTCGGCGGGTCACCGATTCCCGTGGCCGTTCCTCCAATATTACTGAATATCTGCGCATGTCACGACACATACGAGTCAATTGATTGTTGTTGTTATTATGTATTATTATACTATCATTAGAGAGAGGGTGTATGCCGTGTGTCGTGTGTCGTGTGTCGTGTGCCGTGTGTCGTGTGCCGTGTGCCGTGTGCCGTGTGTAAAGATATTGATAAAAGATCGAAGACGTACTACAATGGCGATGACGACGGGCAGCGGGTCGACGTCGATCACCTTGCACAGCCGGAGGGTAACGGGCACCACCAGGAGCACCTCCGTGACGTTGTCCAGCACGGACGACGTCACCCCCGAAAACACCACCTGGCCGCCGCCGCCAGAACCGAGGTGAGCGACTGAAAGAATGAACGCGAGAGGGGGGGGGGAGAAAGAGAGAAGAGGTACGAGCATGACGACGAGGTGCCAGATGTTGCCGCCGGACAGTTTGTAGGCGCGGATGGCGCTCCACTCGAAGAAGCCCGTCTCGGAGAAGATACCCACGAGGGTCATCATTCCGAACAGGAACACGATCGTCTCAAAGTCGATCCACGACACCACCTACCGTCATTACACCATCACTCATGTTACTGCGTATCGTGTGCGGTGTGCGGTGTGCGGTGTGCGTGCGCATGTGCGTGTGCGGTGTGCGTATGCGTGTGGTTGGTTATGTACGTCGTCGAAGGAGGGGCGCTGTTCGACAGCGCTGAGGAAGGCGAGAGCCCAAAAAGATCCCACAAGGGCGGCAATGGCGCGATGCACCAGCTCGAAGACGATCAGCACATAGACCGCCACCAAAATCAAAATTCCGATCGCCACCTGGACACGACACACATGGCACACACGACACGACACGACACACACGACACACGGAACACATGGTCAGACGAAACAGAGAAATGGAGCGAAGCGAGATGACGGGAGGCGAACCTCGTGAGAGCCGAGCCAGCCGAGTGTGAGGACCTGGAGTTGGAGAGCGATGGGCTGGTGGGTGTTGGTGTTGACCACCAGCCGCAGGGCCTCGTATTGGTCCCGCGTCTCGTCCGACACCGAGAACGTGTGCGTGTGCTGCTCCGTGTCCTCGTTGCCTGTTGGGCACATTCCATTGCATTCCGTTTCACAAGGGTTGAGAGTCAGGTAAGGAATGTGGTGCATGCAGTCAGGAATGTGGCGGGCGGCGGCCACATGACGAACCGTGGGGAGCGGTGATGGTGTGGACGAAGGTGTCGAGGGCGTCCCACGTGGCGCTGCCGTTGGCTGTTGGGTCGGCCTGCGGGGTCTTGCCCTGAAGGAAGAAGAGGAGGTGGACTTGTGGCGGGAAGTGGGAGAAGCTCGTGTTGTAGATGCCCGGCGCCACGAAGTAGAGCTTGACCTTGTGGGTGCCCTGCGACTTCAGCTCTTCCACGTGCGGCGCGAGTTAAGGACTATACACCAATACGCACAATCGGGCGCGCGCGCTTGGGACACACCGCACACACGCAACACGCAACACGCAACACGCTCTTGACAAGGAGGAAGGAGAGGATATGAATGGGATGCCCGACGCCACAGCGCGGATGTTGGTTGGCGGCTCGTGCGCGCGTCCAGAGTCAGGAGCCTGCAAGGCCCGGGCCACACCAGATAAATAAATTAAAATAAATTAATATTTGTAAAATTTAAAAAACAACGTAGTAAATTGTAACCGATAATAAAAATAAATACAAAAAACGGGGAACGTACGGTCTGCTGGACGAAGACAAAGAGAGCAAAGAAGAAGAGGGTCGAGATTGTGATGATGCGTATGGTGTTCCAGGGGAGGGAGAGGAACCACTTGCGCTCCTTGTGGTACTTTCGCGACTCGAAGAACCCGCGGAAGGCCCGGTAGAGGAGCGAGTGCTGTCTGGCCTCCCGCTCGAGCAGCTCATTGACTTCGTAATGGCGCGATTCTGCATCGGCATCTTCGCGCAGCAGTTCGAGTCGTTTAGATTCGAGTAGCGAGAAGGTCTCGGGCGTGAAGGGCGGAGGTGGAGCGACGAGCCGGGAGGCGGCCGGCGTAGAGAATGAGCCGTAGCCCATCGTGATGTGCCGAAACGTGTGACCCTCGCCGCCAGGCTCCCCAGCCTCCTCGCCGCGGGCAGGCGTGGTCGCCATGAAGAGATCGTGAATGTGAGAATGAACGAATTTGCGGGCAACGACTTCCAACCCGCAGATTTCAACCCCGAAGTGTCATTGAGTTTCCTGCGATTCATCGCTGATTTCTCCCTACCAGCAAGAATGCTCGTGTACACCGCCAGGTTTGGCTTTCTTGGCCTGCACTGCAGCGCAGCACCAACCCTAGAGAGCCTTGCTTGGTGTGAGAGCATACCGTGGTATCAGCACTGCGACACAACAATCGTTGCAATGAGTTTGCCTACGCTCAACACGTGCGTTGGGTTGGTCGCAGGATAAATCGCGGTATCGCTTTGCGTAATTGCCTTATCTCAGCCATGAAGGTTGCTTGGCGAGCTGGTGCTGTTCAACCAAAGCAATACCAAGCTTCAAAGGGAGGGGGGGGGTGGCACACAGAGCGAAACCGAAACAAGCGGTTAACATAGAAAAAGAGGGACACACCGGTAATATAGAAAGGGGAAAGGGGAATAGAAGATGGAAGCCAGCAGCGACGTTGACCCCAGCGAGGACAGCGTGGAGGACGAGAGCTGCGACAGCACAGCCGAACATAGCCGTGACACCGAATCCACCCCCGACGATGGAATCCCAGGAGGGGGTGGGGAGCGATCATGTTCTTCTTCGAGCCCTCGCGTTGCGGTCGAGGCCGCTCTGATGGAGGAGAGCAGCAGCTCGCCGGCCTCATCGCCCCTCAGCACCAAGGGTCTGTCATCCATGTTCCGCAAGATACCCACCCCGTCGAAGACCAGCGACAAGGGAGCAAAGGAGCCCAAGGAGAAGGAGGCCAAGCCCAAGGCCAGGCTGCACCGGCGTACAAAATCCCTCAAGGCCATGCTGCTGCGGGGCGGGGCCATCGATTCATCCAAAGATCAGAAGGAAAAGGAGAAGGACCAACATCAACAACAGCAACCACAGCCGCCATCTACGCCCACCCATCATAGCCTGGCCTCCAGCAGCCCAGCCTCGCCCAGCACTCCCAACAACAGCGGCACCATAGCAAGACGCGACTCATCTGGGCCGCCGCCCCTGCGCACCTCTGGAGAGATGCCTCCTGCCGGGGTCGGCCTCACCCCAATGGGCGGTGGTGACCAGCAGAGCGTGGACGGCGACGATATGGCCGACTTGGTCCCGGGCGGCGGCGAGGGGCTCCACCCGATGGGCGACGAGCCCGAGGAGCTGGCGGGCGCGGGGGGTCAGCGCCCCGAAGGGTCGGCCGGCATGAGCTGGAGCGACTTCGAAGAGCGTTACTGCGGGCCAGACCTTCAGAACGACCCACTCGCAGCCCACTTCCTCTTCCCTGACGATGACGTTTCCGTTCTCTCCGAGCCTCGCGCTCAACGCTCATCAGTTTCGACTGTACCGGTATGAACTCATTCCGGTGTGCGTGTCGTGTCGTTGGTCGTGTCGTTGGTCGTGTCGTGTCTTGTCGTGTCTTGTCGTGTCGTGTGCCTCTTTTATTGCTTCTGACGTCGATGAACAGAGCGAACTGTTGGAGAGGGGTACTGAAAGCCACGGGCTGGACGGCTGGCTGCGTGCATGCGTGGAGAGCTTCACTGCGCCGTGGACAGTGGTGCGCTACAACTACGCACCCACGGCCCTCGAGCCGGGCACCACTACCAACCTCTCGTCGGGCGTCACCATGACCTCGCCCATGCCGATGGTCTCCTCGACCAACGTCACGGCGGGGCGCCTCTTCCACACATCGGGATCCACCATCGTGCACCCCACCATCGCCCCGCGGGGCACGGCCGCCTCGTCCGCCACCGCCGCATCGTCTTCGCCATCGTCGGTCACCTCCTCTCCCGGCTCAGTGATCTCACACCCCACCATCACACATCGCTACTCGGCCCCTTCGTCCGGTTCGAGCATCGTCAACCCCTCTGCACCTCGGTACGCACGAGTTGTAGAGGAATGGAGTCTCCTCCCAGCTCCTTCTCGCTAACGTCGGGCATCACCTTCTTGTGCAGTGTATCCCTGAATCCTCTATTCGCTGGCCGGTCAGACACGGAGCTGCTGATCCACGACAGGAAGCTCAGTCGATTGGTACCGCCAGCTACTCCCTCTTCCACTGCCAGTGGCTTGAGCAGGTTAATCACCACAACCCCCTTCTTGGCGGTTTTGCTCAGTCGGCAGCAGTACCTTTGCCGTCGTCCTCCTTGGCTTCCTCGATCCCCGCCCTCGCCCTGTCCAAGGTCCTACCCCAACAGCAACAGCCTTTGTTGAGTACTGACTTTTAATCAAATCAACTTGGCAGGAGAGCGAGGAAGATGCGGAGAAGACCACCCTCGACGAGGCGGTGTGCGAGGGGCGCACCGGTGACGACCACCTGCGGTCGTTCGTAGAGAAGGTGCCGCTGCCTTGTGACACCCCCGAAGAAGAGGGTACAGCTCACTCACCGAGTGAGCTCTTGTTGTTGTTGGGGGGGGGTTGCGTGTTCTAGTTGCACGGCCAAGTAGCGGACGACCCCTCTGCATCCTCGCCGCACACTCCCAAGGAGCGCACCGCATCTACATCCTCCTCGGCTTCCTCACTACCCCCCGCTCCGCCCCACAACCCCTTCACCCCGCCAGTGTACGCTCCCCCCCCCAAGTTTCCCGCCTTGGACGTGAAGAGCAGTTGAAGCTCACAAACGTTTGTTTGGCCTCGTGGCGTGTTGGATGCAACGACACAGGGCCACGAAGCTGCTGGTGAGCTGCGAGCGGCTACAGTGGCAGGCGGGCGAGGCGTGGGAGCCGCTGTTCTGCAGCGCGGCGCTCTACCACCTGGGCACCAAGCGCCGGATCTCGGAGACCTTCTACTTCGACCACAACAACGAGGCCGTGCTCAAGGCCATCGCCAAGGCCTCCGGCACAGCCGTCGACAGCGACACACAAGCCAACAAGGTGCGCGCTCGTGTCGTGTTGCGTGCAGCGTGTGTGTGTGTGTGTGTGTCGTGCGCTCACTCGAGTGTGTGTCGGGTTGTGTGTGCAGGCGCTCTTCACGGTGGTGGCGCCGTCGCCGTTGATCCACCTGGTGGTGCGCGTGGAGCGGCTGCTGTTGACCGAGCTCGACAAGGAGCAGGAGACGTTCTACTACAAGCCCAAGCACTGGAAGCCGCGCGACCCGGCCAAGGCCCAGCAGGAGCTGCTCCAGGCCATCGAGCAGTGGGCCGCCGCGTCGGGCGGGCGGCCGCCGCCGCTCCAAGTGCTCGGCTGGGGAGCGCTCCCGGTGTTCGCCGAGAACGGCGTCCTACGGGCCAGCGGGCGGCTCCGGGTCGACCCCCTGCTGCCGGCCCGCGGCGTCGTCGACGAAGAGGCCCTGTTCGAAGCCCTCGCCGGCCTCTCGTCGTCGGCGGAGAAGGCCGCCGAGAGGGCCGCGTCGGGCGGTCGCAAGCGCAGCGAGGCCTCGGGCGCTTCGGTCGGCGGCGCGGCCGGCACCGCCGGCGGCAGCATAGCCGTGGGCGGTGGCAGCAAGCGGTCGCTGAGCGGTTGCCTGCACGTCACGCTGCAGCGCATCCAGGACGAGGAGACGCTGCCTCACAGGCTCGACCCGGGCTTCCACCCGCTGCTGCCCTTTGCCGACAACCCGCGGCCCGACGTGTCGCAGCTCATCCGCGAGGTGATGAGCTTCGAGGGCGGCCAGCGCGAGGCCTACACGAGCTACGTCAACTGGCTCTACGTCTACCCGGAGGGCGTGCACCTGGCCAAGGGCGGGCCGTCGAGCCCCAACCTGCTGGTCGAGGCGCGGCTCAAGGACGACGACGACGCCGGCGGCGGGCGCGCGCTGCCGGTCATGTGCGGCCGGTCGGGGTCGGGCCGGTGGCACGAGGTCAGCGCCGCGTCGATGCACATGCACGAGCGCAAGCCGCGCTACTGGGACGAGCTCAAGGTGCGGCTGCCGGCGCGCCTCACGCCGCGCCACCACCTTCTCTTCACCTTCCTCCACGTCCACCCGGGCCACCGCAAGGACTCGGCCACCGTCATCGGCCACGCCGTGCTGCCCCTCTTCACCAACCACTGCGTCGTGCCCAACGGCCGCCAGGCCCTGCCCATCACCTGGGCGCGCGACTTCCCCGCGGCCTACCTCGCGCTCGGGCCGGCCCTCCGCCCGCGCAGCTTCTCGCAGCACTCGACCGCTAGCAGCGTCGTCGGCGGCCCCGGCGGCAGCGGCGGCAGCTCGCAGCAGCAGCGCTCGTCGGCGTCGGCCTCCAGTGCCGGGGGCAAGGCGGGCCTCGAGGCCGACAAGCAGCACCCGGCCTTCGCCGTATCGACCCACGTCGTCTCGTCGGTCTATCCACCCGACGAGCCCCTCTGCCGCTTCTTCGAGCTGGTCCGCCCACGCCCCTCGTTAGCCGCCGGCGTCGGCGCAGGTTGTGCCGACAGTGGCGAGGCCGCGGCCTCAGCGGGTGGCGCTGATGATGGCGGCAGCGGCAGCGGCGGCGATGATGTCGGGCGGCCGCCCCAGACGTCGCGGAGCGTGGCGGCCGAGGAGCGCAAGGTGACGATGGCGTCGTGGAACTTTGCGCTCGACCAGACCGAGTCGGACATCCTGCGCGGGCTGAGCAAGCTCGACGCGCTCACGTGCGTGCACTACATGCCGGTGCTGCTCAACGAGCTGTTCTACCTCATGGCCAGCCACGACCAGCCCAAGCGGCGCAAGGAGGCCTTCCTGGCGCTCATCCACCTCGTGCGCGCCATCGAGAAGGGCACCGGCACCCGGGCCGACCACAACGCGCTCCTCACCTCCTACGTGCGCTACATGTTCCGCAACCCGGACCGCGCGCCCTACCTCCTCTACGAGGAGCTGTGCCACCACTGGCTCCTGCTCCTCTCCCGCCGTCACGAGGCGCTCGAGGGCTTCACCGGCAACCGCTTCCTCCTCGACGTGCTCACCAAGTCCATGACCCTCCACGTCCACTCCTCGCCCCACCTCCGTACGGAGCCTCTCTCGTCCGCGTCATTGCTCGTCTGCTGACCCGTGACACACGACACGCACACACGACACGACACGACACGCACACGACACGCACACGACACACAGGAAAAAGTCAGAACCGAAAGACGCGCTTCAGTGCACAGTTTAGTTGCGGGCTGGCGCGGCTGGTGCGGTTCCTGTTCTCCGACCGGGCGGTACAGAGCCTCGACGCCCTCTCCAACTTCCCCATCCTCCTCCGAAAACTCTTCGCCGTCATGGACCGCGGCCTCGTCCTCAACATGGTGCGCACACGCCCCCCTCCACCCCCCCCCTTCCTTTACTCACGCGTGTCGTGTCTTGTGCCGTGCGTGCTGCCGTGCGTGCTGTCGTCTCGTGCGTGTCGTGTGCCATGTATGTGCAGGTCTATGAGTACGTGCGGGGGATGAAGGACCAGCACGCGATCCTGGGCAAGTTCAAGTTCCTGCAGATCCTGATGGACTACGAGCACTACATTCCGCTCAACCTGCCGGTCATCCGGCCCATCGAGTCGCTCGACCTGGGCCAGCTCCTCGACCAGTGGTGGCGGCAGCACTTCCTGGCCGGGCTGCTCCTCAAGCAGATCGACATGTCGCGCGACGAGCCGCCCGCGCTCCGCACCCAGGCCATCATCACCCTCCGCAACATACTTAAGAAGCACGAGCACGACGAGCGCTACCAGCGGCCGGCCCTGCGCGAGCGGGTGGCCAACCTTTACTTCCCGTTCGTCGTGCTGACGGCCGAGCGCGCGGACCAGCTCGACGAGCGGGAGAAGGGCGAGTGGCTGGCGTGCTTCCTCCACATCGCGCGCCACTGCTCGCGCTCCCTCCTGCGGTCGTGGTGGCAGCGCGACACCCAGAAGCGCCAGGTGGCCTTCCTCCGCCTCCTCGCCTCCTGCGTCGCCGCTGCCGAAGGCGACTCCTCCCTCGACGCCTGGACCACCGCCTTTGAATTCGGTTCGCACACGACACACGACACACAACACACGCACACGCACACGCACACGAATGTGCGGTGCTGACGTGGGCAGGGACAGTGATCGACTATATGCAGGATTTCAGGAGCGAGCTGCGTACACCGGGCAACGTGCTTCTGACGCGGGTGTTTGCGGTGCTGCACCAGCTCATGCAGCACGCCCAGCCGTCCCTGCTCCCGTCCCTCTACGCCGCCCTCCAGTCGTTCATCTGCCAGTTCCGCGCCTCCCTCTTCCGCCACACGGGCCACTCGAGACTGTGCGAGACCCTCTCCTTCGAGATCCTGCGCCACGCCAACGCCCCCGAGGCCCTCACCCGGTACGCCCCCGCACACCACACGACACCACACGACACCACACGACCCACGACACGACACGACACGACACGACCAACGACACGACACGACCAACGACACGACACGACACGACAAACACGGCACACAGCACACACGGCACACGGGCTGATGAAGGTGGTGTGCGTGTGTAGGCGGAATGCGGCGTCGACGTTCTACGTGCTGCTGAAGAACAACTGGGACGAGATGGGCAACATCGCGCGCATGCGGGTGCAGAGCACGGTGGCCGTCTCGCGGCTCATCGGCGGCGCCAAGGCCGGCCAGGGCGTCGTCGACACCACGCGCCTCCAGACCTCCCTCCGCGCCGTCGGCAACTACTCCAAGCTCCGATCCGCGGCTGCCGACGCCCGCGACGGCGGCAATGACACCAACAACAACAGCGGCGGCGAGACGGCGTTCGATGCGGGCGTGCAGGAGCTCATTTCGCGCATCTTCCGGCTGTGCCACTACAGCGTCAAGATCGCGGACAACATCGGCGACCCGGAGACGACGGCCGACTTTTACCGTCGCATCTCGGAGGACTACTTTGACTCGCCCGACCTGCGGGCGCGATGGCTCGAGAACCTGGCCGAGTTCCACACCAACCACAACAAGCTCGAGGAGGCGGCCCAGTGCAAGCTCCACGCGGCGGCGCTGGTCGCGCAGTACCTGCGGCGGTTCAAGCGGCTCGACGTGGTGTCCGACGCCGACTTTGCGCCCATCAGCCCCAACGTGTCGCGCGACCTGCGGCTGCCGGAGGCGGGCGAGATCGACGAGCAGGCCGCGTTCCAGGACCAGGACGTCTGGTCCACCTCCGGCCTCACCAAGCTCCTCAAGGCCGCCGCCAACCTCCTCGAACAGGTACACCGGCGACACGACACGACACGACACGACACGACACGACACGACACGACACGACACGACACGACACGACACGACACGACACGACACGACACGAGTGAGTGCTGATGTGTGTTGCGTTACTCGGTTGCAGGCCAAGTCGCACGAGTTGTGCGTGGAGGTGCTGATGCTGCTGACGACCATCTACAAGGCCGAGAAGAAGTACCCCGAGCTCATCTCCACCCTCGAGCAGTTCAAGGCCATGACCACCACCCTCGTCAATGCCGTACGTCCCCCCCCACTCACTCTCACTCTCTGCACTCGGCAGCTAACCGCACACGCACGCGCACATACCGCACACACCGCACACGCACGCACACCACAATCAGAACAAGTTCGACGTGCGTATTTTCCCAGTGTACTTCCGGGTGGGGTTCTACGGGCCCAAGGCGGAGGAGCTGCAGGGCAAGGAGTTCATCTACAAGGTGCCCGGCGAGACCCGCCTCGGCCACATCCAGGCCCACCTCAAGGAGAAGCACGCCAAGAAGGTCGGCGGCGTACTTGACGACGTCCTCATCCTCCAGGTAGGCACGACACGACACGACACGACACACGATCCAATGTCACACGCACACACGACACAACACGACACGACACACATGACGCACGGGCGCGAGGTGTGCTGACACGAGAGAGCGCAGAACAAACCGATGGAGGCGGAGAAGATGGATCCGTCGAAGCTCTACATCCAGCTGGGGCCGGTCACGCCCCATTCCGATCCGCTGGACTCGACGCCCCGCATCTCGCCGCACGAGGTCAACTTCAACGTCAGTACGTTGCCCCCCCCCCCACACGACACACACACACACACGACACGACACACGACACACGACACACACACGACACCGTGGTGGATGGTGGCTCAACTCTCCAACAACAGACACGTTCGTGCTGGAGACGGGCTTCTCGGAGAGCGGCAAGAACGTGACGGAGCTGGCCAAGCAGCAGAAGAAGAAGGTGGTCTTCACGGTGAGCTTCGCCTTCCCCTACCAGACCTCGCGGCTCGAGGTGGAGCGCACCTCCGAGGTATAACGCCCCCCCTTCCCCCCCGCCCCCATGACGCTCACGCCAAACCTCATCATCTGCGCGTGTCGTGTCGTGCTATGTGCCGTGTGTGCCGTGTACAGTTGATCTTGAGTCCGCTGGAGAACGCGATCGAGCTCATCGAGAACCGCGTGGCCGCGCTGCGAGCACAACTCACACAGAACCCGCCTCGTCTCAACGCCCTCCAAAGCGTGATCCAGGGCTCCGTCGTCACCAGTACCCCTCCCTCCCCTTCTATGCGTGTCGTGTGTGTCGTGCGTCGATGTGTGTCGTGGCCGATGGAGAGTGACGAACAACTGGGACTGCAGTGGTGAACGAGGGGCCGCTGCGGATCTGCGAGGTGTTCCTGGCGCCGGGGGCGGGGGACGGGGAGGGCCAGCAGCACGAGCCCCACCGGATCGTGGTGCTCAAGGAGCGGATGACCGACTTCGTGAAGCTGTGCGGGTTCGCCATCAAGCTGAACAAGTCCCTCATCTCCTCCGAGCACCTCCCGTTCCAGGCCATGGTCGAACAAAAGTACGAAGCCCTCCGCGAGGCCATCCGTGTTTACACCGACGTCTAGTCTTCTTCTTCTTCTTTCCGCTTTCTTCTTCTTTCCTCTTTCTTCTTCTTCGTCTTCTCTCGATCTTCTCTTTCCGTTCGGGCGCACGTCTTCTGTTGCGCTCGAACCCCTTGCGGAGCTGTAAATGTATACACCACCATCACCATCGCCGCTTTCTATGTGCACTCGTCTAGTTCTTCTTGGCGGCCTTCTTGGAGGCCTGGTCCTTCTTGAAGGTCTCGAGGGTCTCCTTGAGCTGGGGCACGAAGTCGGGGAACTCGAGCTCCTCCATTGCCATTAGCACGTCGTTCGCGGAGATGGTGGATCGATTGCTGTTCTGACAGAAGTCGTTGGCGCTGGATGGAGATAAACGCGGTTAGCGGTTAGATGACAAAAGACGAGACAGCGGGAGAGATTAGATTGGGAGGTACCACGCGGTGGCGTAGAGGATCCAAATCTTGGCAGCCTTGGTGATGGCTTCCTTTGCCTCCTTCTGTATCTGCACGCCTTCGGGCAACTACGCATTATGCAGACCCCCCCCCGATTAGATGAATTCCAAATTTGGCCTCAGCGCATGAAGCAGTTGTGTGCAAAAGTACCGAGGATTTGAGTAGCCGCGTGACCACCGCTCGGGGAAGCTCGTAATCGTCGCTCATCTTCAGGCAGCCGTGAATCGCCCAACAATCGTGTGTGCGTGTTTGCAAGTTTGTTTCCCGCCAATTTTGCTGGCGCTGTATTTATTTATTTATTTATAAATAAAAATGCTATTCTGAATTTCTTCCGTCGTTTCGGGTCGGCGAAGGTGAGGGAAGACGGAGACGGTCGCCATCAAAATCGGTAATCGACCGCTCGGCGCTCCTCTCCAAGATGGCAACACGAAAGAACAAGGACAAGGGAGACAAGCTCACGCGTATTGCCATCGTGAGCAGCGACAAATGCAAGCCCAAGAAATGTAGGCAAGAGTGCAAGAGGTCGTGCCCCGTGGTGAAGATGGGCAAGCTCTGCATCGAAGTCACCGAGAAGGACAAGCTCGCCACCATCTCCGAGGAGCTGTGCATCGGTTGTGGTATCTGCGTGAAGAAGTGCCCCTTCAAGGCCATTCAGATCATCAACTTGCCCAAGAACCTCGAGTCCGCCACTACTCATCGCTACGGTTCCAACTCCTTCAAGCTTCACAGGCACGTCTCGCTTCATTTCATCCCCCCCCCTTCAAAATTTCCTAATGCCTTGTGGCATTCAGGCTCCCCGTCCCTCGCCCCGGTCAGGTGCTCGGTCTCGTCGGCACCAACGGTATCGGCAAGTCCACTGCCCTCAAGATTCTTGCCGGCAAGCTCAAGGTGCGCTGTGCCTCGCTGAACATCACCACCATCTCCCGCGATCACCCTAAGCCTCACCAATTTTTCATTTCATTTGTTGCAGCCGAACCTTGGTCGATGGAATTCGCCGCCCGATTGGCAGGAGATTTTGACCTACTTCAGGGGCTCTGAGCTTCAGAACTACTTCACCAAGATTCTCGAGGACAACCTCAAGGCCATCATCAAGCCGCAGTATGTGGACCAGATCCCCAAGGCCGTCAAGGGCAACGTCTCCAAGATCATGGAACAGAAGGACGAGCGTTCGATCAAGGATGAAATCTACGACCAGCTCGGTTCGTTCCCCCTCACCTGCCCCCTCCCCTCCCGCACCCGTTGCAACGTTGGGCGCTCGGCCCTGACTTTGTCTCCCTGCCCTTTTGACAGATCTCAACACCGTGCTGGACCGCTCTGTGGAGGCCCTGTCCGGAGGAGAGTTGCAGCGTTTCGCCATCGGCGTGGTCTGCGTGCAGGAGGCCGACATGTGCGTTTCCCTTCCTTCTCCAGCGTTGAGCCCTCGCTCAGTGCACTCACCCTCTGGTCGCGTCGTGCGTGCGCGATTTTCTTTTGCCCCTGCAGCTACATGTTCGACGAGCCCAGCTCCTATCTGGACGTGAGGCAGCGTCTGCGCGCTGCCCGCACCATCCGAACGCTCCTGCAGCCCAGTAACGTTTCCCCTCTCTTCGTGTGTGTCGCCGTGTGCGTGCGTGCGGAGACTAACCACACCGTCACTCTTCTGAATCTTCTGCGCAGCCAAGTACGTGATCGTGGTGGAGCACGACTTGTCGGTGCTGGACTACCTGTCGGACTTCATCTGCTGCCTGTACGGCGTGCCGGGCGCCTACGGCGTGGTGACGCTGCCGTTCTCGGTGCGGGAGGGCATCAACATCTTCCTCGAGGGCTTCGTGCCCACCGAGAACCTGCGTTTCCGGGAGATCTCGCTCTCGTTCAAGCTCTCGCACACCGTCGAGGACGACACCCTCGCCGGCGCCAAGCACCGGCGCTACAGCTACCCGAACATGGTCAAGTCGTTCCAGGGCAAGGGCGCCGACACCGCTGGCTTCAAGCTCGAGGTCGAGGCCGGCGACTTCACCGATTCGGAGATCATCGTGCTCCTGGGCCAGAACGGCACCGGCAAGACCACCTTCATCCGCATGCTCGCCGGCCTGCTGCCGGCCGACCCCGGCTACCCGGAGATCCCCAAGCTCAACATGTCCTACAAGCCGCAGAAGATCGCGCCCAAGTTCGAGGGCACCGTGCGCGACCTGCTCCAGAAGCGCATCCGCGAGGCCTACCTCCACCCGCAGTTCGTGACCGACGTCACCAAGCCCATGTTGATCGAGGAGATCATCGACCAGGAGGTGCTCCACCTCTCCGGCGGTGAGCTCCAGCGCGTCGCGCTCGTGCTCGCGCTCGGCAAGCCGGCCGACATCTACCTCATCGACGAGCCCTCGGCCTACCTCGACTCGGAGCAGCGTATCGTCGCCGCCCGCGTCATCAAGCGCTACATCCTCCACGCCAAGAAGACCGCCTTCATCGTCGAGCACGACTTCATCATGGCCACCTACCTCGCCGACCGCGTCATCGTCTACGACGGCGAGCCCTCCGTCGACTGCCGGGCCAACGCGCCCGAGTCGCTCATCACCGGCATGAACAAGTTCCTCAAGGCCCTCGAGATCACCTTCCGCCGCGACCCGACCAACTTCCGCCCGCGCATCAACAAGCTCGACTCGATCATGGACAGCGAGCAGAAGAGGGCCGGCAACTACTTCTTCATGGACAACACGGAGGAGTAGGTGATGACAGCACGAGCACAAGCACGAGCAAAAGCACACAAGAACAAGGAGAAGAAGACCTCTTGTCCAAAAAGAAGGAGAAGTCATCCGAGAATGAACAAGTAGAGTAAGTGAAGGGAAGCAGCAGGACATGCCAGGCTTCGTTCGTGACCAACCATCGCCAACTACCAATAATTATTCATCCCCCACCTCTCCACTCGGCTACTGGAACAACTGTGTTGGCTGTTTCGATTTCTTTGATTTGCTCTTTCTCTAACTTCTTGTGGCCCCGACAGAAGCTAGCTCGTTCGATTTTTCTTCGGCCTTTTCCCGATAATTTGAACACTGCACCGTCGGCGGTGCGCAACTTCGCAAGAGAGAGCAAAGATGATCAACAGCATCTTTATCCTGAACAAGAATGGGTGCGTCTTCTTCCCCTCTCACTCGTCCGTTCTACACAATCTCCCAATTGCAAAAATGCAGTCGAATTTGCAGAGGGGGGGGGGATTTTCATTTCAATTCAAGACGAAGCATCACTGTGCAAGCAAGTGGAGATGGATCCACTCCACACCTTCGACTAAGTGAAAGCCTTGTGTGGCGCATTTGCCTATGCCAGGGAGGTGATTATCGAGAAGCACTACGTGGGCCTCGTGGGGCGGGCCATTTGCGACAAGTTTTGGGATGCGGTGACGGATGTGGACGATCTGCAGGACGTGCCGCCCGTGCTGGCCACGCCCAAGTGGTACCTCGTGCACATCCAGCACCGCGGCCTCTTCTTCCTCGCCGTCGTGAAGAACGACACCCCGCCACTGCTCGTGCTCGAGTTCCTCCAGCGCGTGGTCGAGGTCTTCGGCCACTACATGACCGACGTCACCGAGGAGAGCATCAAGGACAAGTTCGTCATCGTCTACCAGGTCCTCGACGAGATGATGGACGGCGGCTTCCCCTTCACCACCGAGCCCAACGTCCTCACCTCCATGATCAGCAAGACCAACCTCCTCTCCGAGCTCATGGAGAACATCCCCGTGCCCGGCACCCTCAACGTGCCGCTGCCGATGAGCCTCGGCGGCAAGATCAGCATGGGCTCGCGCGCCATCAGCCTCGCCGCCCCGATCGGCACCTCGAACCAGCTGCCGCGCGCGGCCGGCTCGACGGTGCCCTGGCGCACGGTGGGCGTCAAGTACACCACCAACGAGGTCTACTTTGACATCAACGAGGAGATCGACGCCATCATCGATCGCAACGGCCACGTCCTGCGCTGCGTGGCCCACGGCAACGTGCAGGTCAACTGCAAGCTCTCCGGCATGCCCGACCTGAGCCTCCTCTTCTACAACCCGCGCGTGCTCGAGGACGTCGCCTTCCACCCGTGCATCCGCTACTCCCGCTGGGACCAGTCCAAGGTCCTCTCCTTCGTGCCCCCCGACGGCGCCTTCAAGCTCATGGAGTACCGGTACGCGCGTCGTTTTTGAAAACGACCGCTCCAATGGCGCGCGAGATTGCTGACGTGGCACTATCATTGCCGCGTGTCGTGTCGTGCTGTTTCGTGTCGTTGTGTGTCGTGTGCGGTGTAGGGTGACGTCGGGTCTGGAGATTCCGCTGTCGGTGAAGCCGCAGGTGAGCTGGACGAACGGGGGCGGGCGGGTGCACATCACGGTGAGCGCCAAGATGTCGGTCAAGCACGCCGTGGGCGACGTGCAGCTCACCATCCCCTTCTCCAAGCTCGTCTCCTCCACAAACCTCACCGCCACCGCCGGCGAGGTCCAGTACGACGAAATCAACAAAGTCTGCATCTGGTACCCTTTCCATTCTCATCTCTCCCACCCATCAACCAACCAACCAACCAACCAACCAACCAACCAACCACTTGTGTCGTGTCGTGTGCATGTCGTGTCGTGCCGTGTCGTGTCGTGTGCGGCGCGAGCAGGAAGGTGGGCAAGGTGGGTCGCGAGAAGAGTCCGATCCTGTCGGGCAACATCTCGGTGCTGCCGGGGAGCCCGCAGCCGGACAGCAACCCGATCATCGAGGTGGGCTTCAGGGTCAACCAGTTCTCGGCGTCGGGCATCCGGGTGGAGAGCCTCTCGCTCCACAACGAAAAGTACAAACCCTACAAGGGCGTCAAGAACATCACCTACGCCGGCAACTTCCAGGTCCGCACGTAGTTTTGCCGTAGCCGTCGCGTAGCGCTCGCGTCTCCTCCCCTCTCTTGCCCTCTCTCTCTTCGCCTCGCACCTCTTTCCTGCCTCCGTTTGATCGAATCTTTCTCTCTAGATTGACAATCAACATCATCTGCACATCACATGCTTCCTGCCTTCGTTGTTTATGTTTCTTTTATTTTCTTTTATTTGTGCGTGGCGTGTACGTGGCGTGGTTTGTTCAGTTGGGGTGGTAGACGAGGGGGGGGTCAGCACGAGCAGCCGCCCTCCGCGCCCGGCTGGGTGAAGTTGCCCTTCCGGTCCAGCGTGATCCGTTCGTCCACTCCTCCACTGTCGTTGTGTTGTGTGTCGTGGTGGGGTGGGTGAGACCTGCCGTCTGGTGGTGGATTGGGGTGGGGCCGTACCGCGCGACATGCGCGTTGTCGGCGATGTGATGCTTCGTGGCCGTCTGTGCGATGACGTCGAACGATTGCTCCACGCCCGTCCCGTCCTTGGCGCTGCGGACGCACGACACACACACACGCGTCAGCCTTACGTCACGACTTCGTTTCGTTCCGCTTCTCTCTCTCTCTCTCGCACACGGGGGGGGGTGGAAGCGAGGAGGGCACCTGGTCTCAAAATAGCGCATGCCGTGCGACTCACACCACGCGGCCGCGTCCTTGGTCAATATCTGGATCATCCCATATATCAGCCGCGGGGGGTGGTGCATGGACAGTGAGTAGCGCGACGACGAAGACGATGACGATGACGATGAAGATGGCGGCAAGGGGGGGGGGGAGGTGGCGTACCACTCGTTCATCTTTGTCGGTCTTGTTGCCCAGCACGATGAAGGGAAAGCGCTCGGCCATTGATGGCGCCGCCTGAGACATTACCGCACACACGACACACAACGACACGCACACAACGACACACAACGCCCCGCGTCAGTCTGGCGCCAGACAGCGTTGCCGGGCGAGGAGAATAAGTAATCGTGCCTGGGTGATGAACTCCTGCTGCCAGCGGCCGAGGTTGTTGAAGGAGCTCACCACGTTGACGTCGAACACCAGCACGCAGCAGTCCGCCCCGCGGAAGAACGCCGTCCCAAGGCTCTGAAACCGCTCCTGGCCTACAATAATTATCATAAATAGTGATTTATAGCAATAATAACAATTAATAATATGATAAATATACACAATTAATAAAATAAAATAAAATAAAAACGAGCGAGTGGTAGAGGCACGGCACCAGCTGTGTCCTGCAGGCGCACAACAGAAATGTGAGTGCGTGTGTCGTGTGTCGTGTGTCGTGTGTGTCGTGTGTGTCGTGTGTCGTGTTGAGGCAAGAGGACGGGTGCGTACCCATACTTGGAGGGTGACCTCCCGACCATCGACGATGAGGTCGTGTGTGACAAAGTCCTGCAGAAGGCGAACCGTTGAGGAGTGAGCGCTCTGGCGCAGTGCGGGGGGAGGGAGGGATGTGTGGTACCGCGCCGATGGTGGCCTTGTAGGCGCCGGAGAAGCGCTTGTCTGTGAACCGCGTCAACAGGCTGGACTTGCCCACCCTAATGAATGAATGAAAGAAAGTGAGATATAATAAATAAATAAAAATGCTGGTGCTCGAGCACTGGCCATAAAGGCGATAATAACTAAATAAACAAACAAATAAATAAATAATCTGTGGCGGAGTGATTAATATAATAAAATAACATATGGTATGAACTTAAAGCAAAGAGGCGCCTCAAGAGAAATGGCGGCATATACCCGCTGTCTCCCAAAAGCACGACCTTCGCTACGAGATGATCCATCGGCCAGGCGCCAAATTTATATATAAATGTCAATTTAGTGCCTGGTTGCGAGTTGACGTGTTTGTTCGCTAAACTTGTTTCAAGCGGAAACTCCGCCACTTCGGGGTCAGACAATTCGTGCGAAAGATCAATCAATCACAATCAAAACAAAAATAAATCGATTCTTTCATCCTTTGTTTGCTTGCATCGATGAAGGCTGGTGGTGGGTTGGGTGGGGTGTTGGTTGGGGAGCTGGAAGCACGCGGGCTGTATGATACACAAACACACGCGGGAACGCGCGGCTTAGCTGCAGCAGCCGCCCTTGGGCTGAGGCTCGTAGGACGCGTTGAGCCTCTTGACATCGGGAATGTCAATCCTAGTGTTGTTGCCATACACGAGTGGCTCAGTCAGCACAGCACGCCACACACACACATGACACACGACACACGAAGGGAGAACGTACGGTGGCTCCTCGGGGATTCTAGAGATGGCCAGCTTGGCCGCCATGAAGAAGGCCTGGTCCACGTTGGTGGCGTCCTTGGCACTGTCGGGGGGTCACGTGTGAGGAGGAAGGAGGAGTTGTGTGGCGACACACAAAAAAGTGGGAGACACTGCGCACCTCGTCTCGTAGAACGGAACGTCGCCGTGCTCCCTGCACCAGGCGTTACCAGATCTGGCGCTCACCTGCAGCCGCGGACCGCACACGCACACGTCAACAAACTGCGAGAAAGCTGTGTGTGTGTGGTGTGTGGTGTGTGGGTGTGTGTGTGGTGTTGAGTGGAGGGGAGCACCGTTCGCTTGTCCTCCTGATCGACCTTGTTGCCCAGCACGACGAAGGGGAAGTGCTCGGGTCCGCCGACGGCGGCCTGGACGAGGAACTCGTTCCTCCAGTTGTCCAGGCTCTCGAAACTCTTGGCCACCGTCACGTCGAACACCTTCATATATGTCCACAGGCACGCGTGCAGAGAGCGAGAGAGCGTTCAGTGGTCAAGTCGGTCGCGTGTAGGAGGATTTTTGGCCAATGTGCATTGTTTTCTTTCTACGCACCAAGATGCAGCAGTCGGCGCCTCGGTAGAAGGAGTTGCCGAGGGACTGGAAGCGCTCCTGTCCAGCCGTGTCCCAGATCTGAACACAGAATTGTAATTGTTAACAATTACAATGGTTTGAGATGGAGGATGTTAATTTGCCCATTTATTTAGATTTATTATGATTATTTATTATGGAAAAGGGCGGAGAGGATTTTACCTGCAGAGTGACCAATTTGCCATCAACTTCGACCTCCTTGGTTAGGAAATCGGCACCAATGGTGGCCTTGTACTGCGCGCTGTACTTCTTGTTCACATATCTGTCCATAAGCGAGGTCTTGCCCACGCTGCATTGATTGTGATCAAACTGAGGGGTGAACACCACGAATTGAATGCAATGGAGAGCAAGTGCACTCACCCGCTGTCGCCGAGCAGGATGACCTTGAGCAGAGCACGTCGTTGCGCCATCTTCAATCTGGTTTTATGAAATGCAACTAATCTTCGAATCCAACTTGGGAGTTTGCCGCAGCGGCTTCCCTGCTGGCCTTCTCTGAAACTCCTTTTCTCGGCTCATTTCTTTTGCAGCACCATTTCTTTGTGTAAATATTTTATTTTTTAAATAATCGCAACAGATTTGATCAGAGATCAAAGGGATGCAGCGCGCTCGAGCTGTGATTGCACCTTCAAAAGGTCAAGCCATTCGATCCGCATTGGGTGCGAGTTCATCTCATGCTCTGCCGGCACGCCAGTTCGCCATAATCGCTACACGATCATCTTCTCGGCTGATCCAGCGATCGCTGCTATCATCGCCTTCTTCCTCGCTCCTGCCTCTCCGCTTCCATGTCTCCCTCCGCCATTTTCATGCATCGCGGCACATCCAGCAATCGGCCGCAGCCCCTGAAGCCGTTGAAGAAAAAGTCATGGATGGAACCGATCCCGACCAAGTGGCCCGCGCCATCTTGAGCCATCTCAGAGATGCCGCGCCACAGGGCGACGCTGCCAAGAGGAACGCACGGCTGCGATCCCTACTGAGAGATTTGAAGCTAGGCGAGGGCGTGGGTCGTGCCCTGCTCGCAGTCTCGCGCGATCTCGGGCTGCGCCGCACCGGCCGCCTGCTCCCGCTCCTCTACTCGAGCCAGGAGAAGGGCAGCATCAACCGCCTGACCTACCTCCTGCTCACCCTGGCCCACGGACACATACAGCAAGGTCAGCAACACCCCTGCCATTCCTCACCGTCTTCGCCACTCATCCTGTCGTGTGCGTCGTGTGTCGTGTGTCGTGTCGTGTCGGACGTGGCTGGGCTCAACAGGGGACAAGGAACCAAAGGACTTGACCAAGGCTCTCGGACTGCTCACGAACGGTGTTGTGGAGACGTGGGAGGCAGAGGTGCGTTTCCTCCCCCCCCCCGCCCCCGCCGTACGACGCAGGACATACCCCTCCAAGGTGCGCTCACCTTTGCTCGCGCGATCGTCTCCCCTGACGAGCAGGACGTCGCCAAGCTGCTCCGGGTCATCCCGCGCTCGTCCTACTTCTCCCTGGCCGAAGGCAAGGAGTACCAGCCCGGCAGCATTGAATGGAGCCCACGCGAGCTCGGTACGCGCGTCTCTCTCCCGCCTCGATCTTTTCCACATTTTTCACTTTCTTTCTCTGTTTCTGCGTTTTGCCAGGCGGGCTCGTGGGCCAACTGAAGCATGAGCGCGCCGAAAGGAGGGACCTCGAGTTCTTCATGGACATCCTCGTCAAGTATACACTCGCTCCCCACCATTCCCTTGTTCTCGCGTCGGCCGTTGTGACTAATTGTTCTATTTGTCTTTCATTTCAACACGACACAACACACCACGCACGCACGTATAGACTGCTGACGTCACCAGAAAGGGAGGGAGGCTGGGGGAGGGAAAAGTCGGTGGCGCCTGCGGAAGCGACCAGTGACTCGCCCGCGACAACCACTCAACGCAAGGACCTCCCCAAGTCGAGCAAACCCGTACTTCTACGCTCCGCGCACTTGGTCCATTCATTCGCACCATGGTCCCACCTGTACTGTAGCTCACGCGCGCGCCTCTGTGTCCCTCCCCCGATGTGCGTGCTCAAGACTGTGGCCTACGATCTCGACTATGTGCCCAAGGTGGTGGGACCTGCTCTGGCGCCGTTCTTCGACTATTGGGGCAACCAGGACTATGCCACGGTTATCCAGTGCCTCATTACGGCCTTCTCCCAGCACGCTGTCGCCACGTACGGCGCGTACCATTCTTTGTGTGTGTGTGTGTGTGTGTGTGGTCGTGTCAACACGTTTGCATCCCTTCACCATGTTTTGTGTGCCCAGATATGGACAGCAGACACTGACCAAGGAGCAATACCACGACTTTTGTATGGAGATGATGGCACAGACGGCCATTTCCTCAAAGCCCACCGTCGGTACGTTGATCGAGATCACTCCGTCATGCAACGAACCACCAGACACTGCGGTCCACGAGCATCACATGTCGACATGGATCAACAACATCAGCTCATCGTTTGGGTTTGTTTCAATACAGGAATGCTGCACTACATGATCAACGACATCACGTCAGGGTGGGAGGAGCACGATGTGGACGCCCTTTCAACCCGGTTGGAGGCCAGAATGAAGCCTCACAGCTTCTTCCGGCGGTGGTTCAGAAAACTGTTCAACCAACCGACGCCCAACTGAACACACAACACCACAAACAAATAAAAATTACGTCAAAAAACAATAACAATTACGCCACGTCAGCAAGTAGAAGACGTGCCGGCGAACAGCACATCTTGATCTTATTGTTTTCATTGAGTAAAGAGGTGGGGCGGAATTGCAGCGTAGTCTAGTTGAAGATGTTTCTGCTCTCGCACCTGCTCGTGTGGGCGGCCTACCTTGTCCTCTTCTCTTTCACATCCATCTGTCTTGGTACCCCCTCCTGTCATTATTCTCATCCACTTTGAGATCTCGATGAGCTGGTGCGAGTAGAGAAGATTTATGCATGGAAATCTTCGATTAAATCTTCTCTTTTTCCTGCAGCGAGTGGTTTGTTCTACCTGGCCGAGTGGGTGGAAGAGTACACTGTCTTGACCAAGAAGGTGATTCGATGGACGATCATCGTGGTCGTCGTGCTGCATCTGATGCTCATGATCCTCGAGAATCTGCCTCCGCTCTACCTCCTCCTGGGCCTCGTGGCCCATGGCGCCTACTTCTCCCTCCTCCCCTCTTTCCCCTACATTGAGTTCACCGACCCCAGGTTCCTCGTCAGCGTCGGTACGTGCTGCATCGACCCTACACACACGTCGTCTCCCACCGCGCGGTTTTAGTGACACTGTCGTGCGGTCTGGTGTGTCGTGCAGCGCTGGCGATCAGCGATCACTGCCTGTGGTTCTGGTACTTCACACAGTACTACTACCCGTTCTCCGAGATCCTCGCCTTCTTCGTGCTCATCGTCTGGGTTCGCACTGCACTGCACTACACTTGCTGGTTGGTTGGTTGTTGACTGACCAGATCACTCGCGATCGTTTGCACGGCCAGGCGGTGCCGTTCCTGTTCTTCCTCTCGCTGACGGCCAACGACAGCAACCTGCCGGGTGCGGGCTACGGCCCGTCGCCCTCCTCGTCCAAGAAGAAGGGAAAGGGCAAGGGCCTTAACCTGCGCTCCCTCTTCTCCTTCCTCGGCGAGAAGAAGAACCAGGTCATGGAACAGGCCGACCCCTACGCCTCGAGCGTCAAGCTCGGCTGATCTCGACGATCGACAACGACGAGACCAGACCATGCCGGCTACTTGAGAGAAAGAGAAACGGAGAGGAGGCGGGACCATATGGCTCCTGACCCCTGTCCTCTTGCTCTAAACATACACGATCATCCACGGAGCCTTCATGTCCAGAAAATGTTCTATTTCAATTTGATTTACGTTATTGGAATGCCAATTATTTCGCAACTATGGATTGATTTAAAAAAAACAACAAAAAAAAAGAGATAAATAGATCTATTTGGTCAGATGGCGAATTGGGTGGAATGGATAGTGAATGAGGTGGTGCATGAGGCGCCCCAGCTGGTGCTGCTTGTGCTGGCTTTTGCCTTCACCACGGGCGTCTTCATGGCCCTCTTCATGGCCTTCGAGTACATCTATCGACGGATGAGCGGCGGCCGGGATCTGCTCAACACTTTCTTCCATCGCGATGTCATCGCCCTCGATCAGATGGTTGATGAAATAGACGCCCTGCAGCGACAGCGAGACGAACAGCAGGCCAAGCGGCCAAGCGCGAGCAGCACACCAGCATCTTCGACTTTGAGCGGGGACGATGATGTTGAATTCAATCGGCTTCAACGCGATGCCGACATGGAACAAACCATCGCGTAAAGCACCTCTTAATCGTTCGAGATGCCAACAAAGATCGCTGACTGACCTCGCATTGCGTTGGCTGGTGTTGCAGACGTGGCAAGCACGTGTGGGCTGCGCGACGAGAGCATCTGCTACGCAAGCAGCAGCTGCTACGCGTCTCGGCCTGCGTGTGCGTGGCGCTCCTCATCTTCTGGCGCATGGGCGCCTTGGACTCGCGATGGTGTGCCCTCTCCACCACCCATCGACAGCTCGTCCACTCCCTTCTCGCCCACACCACCGGTACATCATCACTTCATCTTCATCATCTTCTTCCTTCTTCTTGCTCCGTCGTCGTTGTCGATGCTCACGCCCGCGGTGGTGCGCGCAGCTGTGCTGGACGCGAGCGGGTTGGAGTACTGGGTGGACGGACCGACGCTACTCGCCGCCTACAGAGACAACACGCTGAGCGAATGGTGCGCTCACAACAACAACAACAACAACAACAACAACAACAACAACAACGTGATGGTGATGGTGATGGTTGGTTGATGGTTGGTTTTGATGATGACCTTGCATGCCCGCGTCGGCTACAGGGACGATCGGTTGGTGCTGGCGACGTGGAAGGAGAACCAGCCCAAGGTGTGGAACACACTTCGACCCGCGCTGGAGCAGCGCGGGCGATACTACCTCGAGAAGTACCGCGTACGCCTCCCACCACCACCATGTCTCTCCCGCTCAACGCGCGACACCACACACACACGACACACGACACACGACACACGACACACGACACACGACACACGACACACGACACACGACACACGACACACGACACACGACACACGACACACGACACACACACGACACGACACACGGCACACATGCGTCAAACACACGCTGACGGGTTCATGATTTGGATGCGAATCATTAGGCACCGGTGGTGCCCGTGGCCAACCCGCCCGCGTTCCGCTTGCACTACGCCTCGCTCCAGCGGCACATCAACCGGCTGCCCTACCTCGACATCTACCTCTACAGCCGCGAAGGCAGCCCCGACAACGACAACTCAGAGGTTTACCCCCCCCTCCCAATTGCCCGTGTGCGTGTCGTGTCGTTGACCGTGTGTGCCGTGTGTCGTGTCATGTGCGGTGATGTAGATGGAGACGCCGCGGGTGAAGGAGAGCGCAGTGCAGCCGCTGCGCAATGTGACGCTGGACGGGGCGTCGTCGTCGTCGTCGTTGCCGCTCGCCTCCTATCGGGTCCCTCTGCCGCACGACGTGCACACCTTTTTGGTTCGCCTGCTGGGCGACGCGTTCGACGCTCGCGCGATCGACGAGGCCCACCACCGCAGCGTCAGCCTCGGCGGTGGCGGAGCGCGGGACCACGCCGACGGCCTGCACGGCTACAAGGCGCTGACGTGCCAGATCTACCGGGACCAGGGCAACAACCTGGTCCTCTTCGCCCTGGCGGGCACCATCATCTACTTCGTCCTCGTCATCTACGCCCTCCCTCGCGTCTCGTTCAACGAGCGCTGGCGTTTCTGATAACAAGATTTATTTATTTACATTATTTATTCATTTTATTGAGATGGAAGGAATGGAGGGGGAGGCAGAGGGGAGGGTGCACCAGGTATGCATCGATGACGAGGAGGTGGGTGTGGAGGTGCGTGTAATCGATGTAACAGCTTCTGCATCTGCACCAGAACCTGTTCGATTCTGGGGACGCAGCAGATACAGAGTGCGAGTAGCGCGCGATGATGTGGAAGCTGCTGAATCGATGCCCGACTACACCTTGATCACAGAACCGCATCAAGTGGCCGATGTGGCCGAGCGGTTTGTGGCCAAGGCCCAGTGGCTCGCCATCGACACCGAGAGCAACATCCTGTTCGTCTACCAGCCGCGCGTGTGCCTCATCCAGATGAACGTCGAGGGCGTGCTGCTGGTCTTCGACACCATGGCCCTCATGCAGGCCGACCCACTTGCCCTCGAGCCGCTACGTCCCTATCTCGAAGATGGCCAGCGCCTCATCTTCGCGCATGGAGGTGTGTCAATCTCAATCTCCCACCCACCCATCCATCTCGCTCACACCGTTCGTGTGCCGCGCGTGCAGCCGCCAACGACGTGTCCACGTTCAAGAGAGACTTCGACATCTCGCTCAACGGTAGCCACTTCCACTTGCTTGAGGCACTTGCGAAAAGCCAAAACGTTTACGCTAGTGTGTGTTGTGTCGTGCCTCGTGTCGTGTGCAGGACTGTTCGACACGCAGCGCGCGGCGCAGTTGGCGGGGCTGGCGCACACCAACTACGGGGCGGTGGTAGAGAGCCTCCTGTCCGTTAGCCTGTCCAAGGACTACACCCACTACAACTGGGGCTTGCGACCCATCGGTACCGCGCGGCCCCGTCGAAACGGCTGGCTCGACACTTGCCTGACCTGTGCGGTGTGCGCGGTGTGCGCGCAGAGCTTGAGCCTCTTCGTTATGCGCTCGAAGATGTGGTCTACCTGCCGCAGGTGGGGCACATGCTGCGTGCGCGCGTACAGGAGCTGGGCGTGGAGGAGGAGCTGGCGGCGGTCAACCGCATGCTCATGGCCATGCCCTCCCACCCGCGACGGTACACCACCACCACCACCACCACCACTCCCGTCACGCCATCGTCGTCGCCGCCATCGTGGTCGGCCCCCTGCTGACGTCAGCTTCGCTCCTGTGTCTCCCGTCACGGTGTACCACCAAGGGCAGGCTAGACGACTTGGCGCTTGTGCACAGCATCCGGGGCACGGGCAATCTCGACCCGGTCCAGCTCGGGGTCATGGGGGCGCTCTTCCTGTGGCGCGACGCCAAGGCGCGCGAGTTCGACCGCCCCTGTGGCTCCGTCATCTCCAACGAGCGGCTTGTCAAGATCGCCCGCGCACTCGACCCAAACGTTGCACGCAGGTACACGCACACGCACACGCACACACACGCGCACACGCACACGCACACACACACGCACACGACCGGCGTTCAACTCACGCGATCGTCGCGTACGCAGGTACGGCCGTAACTACGCGGAAGAGCTCGTGGCGTGCCTAGACGAGGCGCTCTTGCGACCGCCGCAGGTACCGCCGCGGCCCACGTCCAACGTGCGGACCGTGCGGCGAAAGTGCCTCGAGCCACAACCGCCGCCGAACCAAGAAGAAGGAGAAGAAGAAGACGGTGGTGAGGAAGCCGAAGAGGATGAGGAAGAAGAAGCGCCACCAGCGCCACCAGAGCAGCAAGGCAGGTGAAGAAACAAACGACGACCAACGTGTTGTCCTGAAGGCTTAAGCCGAATTGTTGAACATGACTACTGTACTTGTTGTTGTATACTCCCCCGTCCACACTCCCCGTTCACTCTCTGCCTTGGTGAGATTCTCTCCTCTCCTCCTCCTCTACTTGCCGATTCTCCTGGAGAAGGCGAGCTGGGGGAAGAAGAAGGCGTCCACGTCGAGGAAGGAGGCCAGGTCCGCTCCGCACTGCAGCTTGTTCTCCGACAGGTTGACTCCCTCCAGCACCTCGTTGTCCTGCGTGGTCAACGAGGAAACAAACAACCATCAAGTAGAGGAAACAATTGTGAGTCCAACTACACGAAGAAACACACACACACCACACACACACACACACCATAGAAAGAGAGATAGAGAGAGAGAGAGAAGGCGTACGTCGAGCACTTGGCGGATGTGGCTGGCGCCGGCATTGCCGAGCTTGTTAGCGGACAGGTCCACGTGAGTGATCTTGTCGTTCTCCTTGAGCGCGGCGGCGATGGCCTGAGCGCCCTCGTCGGAGATGCCGTTGCCGCCGAGGTGGATCGACTCGAGCGCCGTTCGCCGGCGGAGGAGGGCGGCCAGGGCCTGGGCGCCCTCGTCGGTGATGGCGTTCCTGGAGAGGATGAGGGACCCGAGGCCGTGCTCCTCGGTCAGCGCGCCGGCGATCGCGGCGGCGCCCTTGTCCGAGACCTTGCTGGCCGAGAGGTCCACCACGCGCAGGCTCGACTTGTGGGCCAGCGCCTGGGCGAGCGCGTCGGCGCCCTCGTCGCCGATCTCGTTCTCGTTCAGGTACAGCTCCTCGAGCGACTTCATCTTCGGCAGCGCCTCGGCCACAGCACTGGCCACCACGACAACAAACAAAGATAAATAAATAAATACACAAATAAATAAATAAACAGATAATAACAAAAATTTTGTTGAATAAATAATAAATAAATAAATAAATTCAACGTACGCGGCGCCGGCGGAGGAGATCTTGTTCTTGCCGAGCTTGAGGACGCGGAGGTGGGTGAGGGCGGCGAGGGCGGGGGCGAGGCGGCGGACGTCGTTGTCCTCGAGCTCGGCGTTCTCGAGCGACAGGGTCTTGAGGTGGTAGTTGTGGGCCAGCACGGCGGTCAGCGCTCGCAGGGCCTCCTGCGACAGCGGGCGGTCGTCCAGGTGCAGCACCGTCGGTGGGTTGGCATCGCCGCCGAGGAACGCCAGCAGACGCAGGTCGGGCCTGCCGGGCCAGCGAAGGAAAAAAGGAGTCATCAGCAACTGCGTGTGCGGTGTGTGCGGTGTGTGCGGTGCGGTGTGTACCTGGCTTCAGAGTCGACGTCATCAGAGTCCTTTCTGTAGACGTGGGCGGCGGCGAGACCGGCCACGGCCGCGATCCAGGCGTCCCTGTGCTCCTTCGACTCGGCCTCGAGCACCAGCTGGCGACCATCCACGCTCACCTGCGCCGCCCACACACCCCCAAACACACACACGATGATGATTAAGCCACGCTGGGTCCAGCGAATGGCGGCGCAGAGTTGATTTTAAAAATAAGAATTTTACCTTGAGGAGCCAATCGTGGCCGTCCTCGCCGCTCTCGGGGCCGACCTCGCACGTGGCGAGGGAGATGGAGGCCTTCTCGTCGGCGTTGGCCTCGTCGGTCTTGTAGTAGGAGAGGGTGTCGGCGCGCAGCACAAAGTGCCGCTTCTTCCACGACGACGTGTTGCGCTGGCCCTTCTTGACCAGCCAGCCCTGCTTGATCGCCGCATCGCGACGACGACCAATCGCATCCTATTGTGTCGATAAAACGTTTGGCCGTGAGCCAATCGCCAATTGCGTGGGAGCGGGGGGGGGGAAGAGCGAAAGAGAAAGAGCGAAAGAGAGAAAGAGAGATGGTACCTTGATGTCGAGGACCTTGAGGAGGGCCTTGTTCTCGTCCTCGAGTCGGTCGACGAGGAGGGTGGCCTGCTGGTTCCAGTTCTTGGTGCTGGAGATGGAGGGCACGATGGACTTGATCTCGATGCGCCTGGTGGGGTCCGTCTCGCCGTCGGTCTGCACCTCGCGCCAGCAGTAGAGGTCCTCCAGGTGCTCCTCCAGGTTCTTGCTCAGCAGCGACCAGGCTGGTTCGAACCAGCAACAAAGAAGGGGGGTTGCGTTAGCCCGTAGCGACAGTGTGTGTGTGTGCGTGCGTGGAATGTTTGCGATGGAAAGAATTTGATGTGTGGAATGTGGTGGGGCGGGGCCTACCAGCGCTGGCCTTGGTGGTCTGGCCGGCCTTCTTGGAGAGAAGGTCGTGCTCGGACTGGAGCCGGGCATTCTTTTGGTCGCGCTGCGTCCTGGCTGCGCTCTCCGCCGCCAGCTGCGCCCTCAGCTTCTCGGCCTCCTTGGCCAGCTGCTCCTGCGTCTCGGCCAGCTCGCGCGAAGCCGAGGCCCTGGATCCCGCGAAGACAAGTACGCCACGTCAACTGGTTGTGGTGGTCACCATGGCAACGACGCCGCCAAACCACTGCGGACGCACCTCTCGTCGTGGTTGCCGCCCAGGCGCTCGCGGAGGGCCTCGATCTCGGACCTGGCCCGCTGAATCTCCTCCTTGAGCGCATCGACGGAGGCGTCGACGGACTCGTCCCTCGACGCTCGCTGCCTTTCGGCCAAATCGTGAAGCGTCGCCAGCTGATGAATGGAGCATCGATTGCACGCACGTGTTAGCACGTGTTGCGTGCGTGCGTGCGTGCGTGGTTTAAATACCTTGGAAGCGAGCTCGAGATCCTTGGTCTTGAGCTGGTGGAGCTCCTCGAGCCGGGCGCGCAGCTCCTGCACCTCGGACTGGAGCTTCCTGGTGGCCTCGTTCAGCTCGGTGGCCTGCTTGCCCTTCTCGCCGATGGTCGAGTCGAGGCCGGCCTGCGCGGCCAGCAGCGAGTCCTTCTGCTTGAGGAGCTCCTCGCGCTCCTGGGCCTCGCGCTGGAGCCGGGTGCCCAGGTCCTCGAGGCGCGAGGCGATGCCCTGGTTGGCCAGCTCCATCTCCTCCTTCTCCCTCTTGGACGAGAAGGCGTGGAAGAAGAGCGAAACGTAGAGCTGCACCGAGCGCTCGTCGGGGTCGCCCTCGGTGAGGTCGCTGGGCGAGAGCAGCTGCGGGATGTTCATGTGGGTCTCGGCCAGCTCGAAGGCCTGGGCCAGCAGCGCGGCGGGGTCGTCCTTGTTGACGCGGCTGAAGTCGAGCAGGGTGGGGTCGTACTTGGACACGAGCGCGGCAAAGGCCAGGCCGTCCCTGAAACCGTACTTGAAGTCGGTGGGCGTCACGCCCAGGTCGCCCACGGTCTCGCGCACCCACTTGAGCAAGCTCTCCTCCATCGACTTGCTCGCCTTGCCTGCAGTCAGTCCCATCGCGGCCACGTCAGGCCACGTAGAGCGCACCAGAACAAATGATTGCAAAAAAAAAGGGGGAAAAGCAAATGGAGGCCAACAATCAGATGGCGGGTAGAGGAAT